ACTCTTCCTTGTATGATTGGAGAAGTTAATATTGCTTTTGACTCAGTTTCTTTCTGTAACTATAATGTTAGAGGTCACTAAAATAACCTTGTGTTAATAAGTTTAACTGGGTCTAATCTTACAACTTACCAACTAAGATGATGATTGCAAAATAAAAATAATGCTGTTTATAACATCTTGGCAAATGCTGAAGTAAGCAGTTTTTTGCTTGGTAAACATGAGCTCAAGAGATCTTGGTATTGAAAGTAGGCTTAAGCATCTTACATCTTCCTGTCAGAGGTGGGAATTTTTCATTTTGATCTTTCATTTACTTCAAAAAGTTAACGGAATCTCTTAGTATTTAGCTTTTGAAATATAATTGTGCGTACTAAATTTACGGGGTTCAGGAAGTAGAGTTGATACTATCCTAATGAACGTAATACCTGAAAAAATATGGACTAAGATGTCAATATCGTTCTATGTACTTTGAGTAACCCTCTTCATGTATTGTACCTTCCAGGTGCATAATACCAATAGTCCTTGCTTAATGACTGGTCGCTAAGCGATTGAAGTTACAGCAGACCCCTGTAAGCTGCTTACAACCTGGTCCTGAAATTAGAGCTGCTGCAGCATCCCTCCAGTCATTTGCCTTTACAACCGATTGCATGGACACTGATGGGCTCCCCCTATTTAATTCACCCCCAGCAGGTCCCCACAGGGCTTGCATCTCTTCCCCATCCCACATCAAGCACCACACATTTATCTTTTGAAGATATCCAGAGTTCTGTGTGATTTGGGCAGCCATATGGCAGGATTCCAGAAGTGGCCACCATTTTTCGAGCAGCCTTCTAGTCACTTGTTTGAGTTGGTAGTTTCTTGATTGGGATATTGTTTACCACTTGACAAACAACAGTAAACAACAATCAAGGAATCATCAAGAAGAAAACAACACGCCCACTTGCCCTTCCAGGCATGCCATTTATATATAAACCAAGAGCAACCCCACTCTTTTCTAGCATTGATAATGTCCTCTAGTTAGGTTATGAAATGTCTGCAAGGAAACAACCAAGCTCAGACAGCACCAAGCACGACACCCCCCCCAAATCTCCAGGACAAGAAAAGTGAGGATTTTTTTTTCTAAACACAAACTTGAAGCACCTAGTCCTAGTGCATATTAATTGTAGGTGAATGTAATACACTCATTTATAGATCGAGTTTCCTCTATTTTACTTCTCTCATTTTCCTACTTAGAAAATAAGCCCCCAAAGGAAGAGTTCTGTAATAATGGAAAAGTAAATGTTTGTTTCTGTATATAACTTGCTCCAATAAAAGAACTACAATACTGTTTCAATTTGTTCTTTTTAACATACCAGCATGTGCTTAAGACTTTAAAAGAAACTAATGAAATTATTAGGTTATAAGAGAACGCAAGAGAAACAAGCACTAAGCGTCAAGATTATGTTGACTCATAAAAGTAGAAAACTTTGAACTTCACTAACCTCTCCTTTATGTAATTGTCATACAATATTGTTAATATAGAGGAAAAATGAACGTAGGAATGTAGCAAATTTGTTTGTCACAGAGAAGGCATTTATTTACATATAATACTTTTATTTTCATATATTTCTATATATCCAGCTTCCAAGACTCAGGGTAGTTTACTATACAAAAATAACCAACAGATTCCATACAATCTTACAATCAACCTACATAAAAGTAACATTAAAAATATCTCCCTTTTTACAACCCTGTAGTCCAGTGGTGGCGAACCTATGGCACAGGTGCTAGAGGCGGCACTCGGAGCCCTCTGTGGGCACCCATGCCGTTGCCCCAGCCTTGCCTCCCCCCGTGACCCCCTCCAGCAGCCCCCCTGAAGGAGAGTCGCCCCTGAGCTTGGCCCACCCAAGCAGTGCAGCCAAGGACATGGCAGCCAGGCAGCATAGACAAGACTGCCCTCACACCCCTCGTGCACAGTTGATGCTGCAGGGTGCGGGCAGAGGGCGTGACTGCCATAGCACTGCTGGGTGATCTGCGGTGGGCCCTGGAGGCGGTGACTGGCCCTGTGGGCAGGCGGGGCAGGGGATGGGGTGGGGCAGCGCCAGTTTTTGGGCACTCTCTAAAAGGTTCGTCATCACTGCTGTAGTCCCTTAATTTGGGATAGAGTCAGGGCAACTGAATGGGGCTGAGCATTTACTGTCCAGATGCCCTTCCTGACGCTTTGCGGAGTTCACAGATTTCTTTGTCCCTACAAGATAAAAATCAGAGAAACACAATCTATGGCATTCTAAATGCACCCTTGCCTGTCTCATCCACATATTGTCTTTGTTCCAGCACTGAAATGGCTTGCTAACTTAGAATTTGTTTAGAAAAAATGGCTGTGCCCTTATATTTATTCCTTCCACACCCATCCTGAGGAAAGTTAAGCTGAGGGTGACCAGCCCAAAGTCACCAATGAAACTTCTGTGAGCGAAGTAGACCCAGAAGATGAGTGTCGCCATTTAAAGTCCAATAACCTTAACTAGCATACCATATTGGCTTTTTTTCTATGGAGTTTCTCAATCCAGGTCATGGTTGTCCCAAAGGTGCTTTTCCAAAAGGCAACTGAACTTGCTTTTTTTTTTTTCAGTTCTGAAGAAGAACTAAAGAAGCTTCTTGGATGAGAAGTGAAATGTTTTCAAGGAAAAAAAACTGGTTGCCTCTTGGAAAAGCACATTTGGAACATGCTGGCTTTCACAAATCCTCATAAGATAGCCCTCCAACCTTTGTGCAGGCTTACCTCTGAATTGGTCTAAGCTGAAGTATTATCCATTGACCAACAAGGCAATCTCTGAGAACACTAATTTGCCATAGAAAAATCTTGGGAAGCTCAGCCACCTCCTGGTTGTCCTGAGATGCCCTCTCTCATTTGGCCAAGGGGCTCTGCTTTGACTGCTGAAGATACCAAATCCTCACTCAGCTACCTGATTCCTGTTGCTCTAGGTCAGAGGTAGGGAACCTTGGCTCTTTTATGACTTGCGGACTTCAACTCCAAATTCCTGAGCCAGCATGGCTGCTCAGGAGTTCTGGGCACTGAAATCCACAAGTCATAAAAAAGCAAGGTTCCCTACCCATGCCCTAGGTCTTCCTCCTCTCCACAAAGCATGGCTTCTTTGCCCCCCCCCTGCCCCCATATGTCAGTTTAGAGCAGGGGTGTCAAACTCAATTTCGTTGAGGGCCGCATCAGCATTGCGGTTGCCCTCAGGGAGCCCGGTGGGTGTGGCCAGGGTGGGTGCAGCCTACTAGATGGGCATGGATTGAGTGGGTGTGGCCTACTGGGTGGGCATGGCCAGCTCTACATCGTTCATGTCAAGGGTGCCTGGGCTGGAGTGGGATAGATCTGAGGGTCTCTGGCAGAAGGGGGTGGGACCAGGGTAAGTGCCAAGGCATGGTCCACTGGAGGAGCCTCATTGTTCTTCTCAGGCCATGCGGGGGGAGGGGTGTTAATGAATGTGTTTCAACATAGATGGCACCACAAAATTGTACATTGGCTCCCAGCTGGCCTGGGCCAGGGGCAAGGCAGAGGGGGCTGTTCCCTCACTGTTTCTAGGATGGCTTCACGGGCCACATGAAACCACTTCACGGGCCACATCTGGCCCCCGGGCCTTGTGTTTGACATGTCTGGTTTAGAGCCATGATGACACAGTGGTTAGATTGCAATATTGCAGGCTAATTTTGCTGACTGCTGGCAGTTTGATTCTCACCGGCTCAAGGTTGGCTCAGCCTTCCATCCTTCCGATGTGGATAAAATAAGGACCCAGATTGTTAGGGACAATATGACAACTCTGCAAACTGCTTAAAGAGGGCTTTAAGGCACTGTGAAGCAGTATATAAGTCCAAGTGCTACTGCTATTTGTTGTTAATTGCGAAGTCATGTCCAACCCATCGCGACTGCATGGACAACATTCCTCCAGGTCTTCCTGTCCTCTACCATCTTCTGGAGTCCATTTATGCTCACGCCTACTGCTTCAGCGACTGCATCCAGCCACCACATTTTCTATCATCTCCTTCTTCTATTTCCCTCAATCTTTCCCAGCATTAGGCCCTTCTCCAGTGAGTCCTTCCTTCTCATTAGGTGGCCAAAGTATTTGAGTTTCAACTTCAGGATCTTTACGGATTACTGCCTAAATTTTGCAACAAGAAGCTCATGATCTGAGCCAGTCAGCTCCTGGTCTTGTTTTTACTGATTGTATAGAGCTTTTCCATCTTTGGCTGCAGGGCACATAGTCAATCTGATTTCTCTGTTGACCATCTGGTGATGTCCATGCATAGAGCTGTCTCTTGGGTTGTTGGAAAAGAATGCTATTTAGCTACTGCTATTTAGAAGCAAGCAAAAACAACGTGAAGGCCGCGATTTTCCCATGCGAATGTTCTCCTTTTCTGGAGGTGCGAAGGAAACCCTGACAACGCATTTGCACTATAAAGGATCTATCATTTCCTTTACAGGGTTACTTTGTTTTTACTCATTCATTGGTGCATTTATAAGCTGCCTTTTCTCTCAAAAGTTCAAAGCTAACTATGCGGGTGTATCCTCACTTCATTAATCGCAAAACAATCATTTTGGCAGAGGTTTGGTCTGAAAGACTCCAAGCCATCCGAGGACGTTCGTAGTCTCCAGGTACACCCCCCCCACACACAACTACATCGCACCGGCTCCCGCTTTTGGTCTCCAAATACCCAGAGCCGCTGCAGTCATGTTTTAGTTTCCCCCTAAAACTGAGCACGTTTGCTTGGCTTGAGGAGAAAGCTTTGCCACGTTTAGGGTTCTGTCGTTCAGCTCGCCTCCCAAACTGTAGTCCAGTTGAGGATTTGGAAGTCAGAAGAAAAAGCTTGCAAAGATATTCCTCGGCTCCCCTTCAACGGCCAGCGAGGCACTTCCACTCTCCCTCCGAAGCTATTTCGAGGAAAGTCAAAAGCGACGGAAAGTCTCCTCCCCGGAACCGGAGGCTGAGTCGAGACGAGAAACGGCCTATTGGCAGACGGGAGCCCGGAGGTGGAGCCGCCCTCTGCGGAGCCAACCTGCCGCTCCTTCACTCTGGGTACCCGGGAGGCCGTCGTAGCGCATGGAGGGCTGGGCTAGGAGCTCGCTATGGGGGGCAAGGCGGCTGTGGGCTCCCCACGCCCACATGACGCGAAGTCGGGTGGTCTATGGGCGCCTCCTGAATCTCCGGCCGTTATCGGGTGAGTCCAAGACTTTTGCTCGCCTCTGACCCGAGTGGCCCGGCCTCGACTGCCTGAGCTGCAATTGAGCAAACTGTGGGGAGATTTGGTTACTGGCCTTTAGGTCTCAAAAATTTTCTGAGTAGAATGAAAAAAAAAACCCTCTTTTTTTGGGCGGCCTTTCCCGAGTTTAGGCCACCCTTGGGGGATTGCAGGTGCCGATGTTTGTCTTGTCTAAAAGCATCAGGTGGGAAGGCTATCCGAGGTATAGAGTTAGGTGTTGGTCTGATTGTCTGCCTTTGGTATCAGTATCGAAATGTGGCTTGAAATAAACCTTCCTCCTGCCCCCCTCTTTAAAATCTAACATATTCTGCATCTTGCATTTTTGTCTGCTTCTTAGCCATTGTATTCCTAGGTAAAAGTTACTTAGATCCATTGGTATTTGCAAACCCTCTTCTTACGTCGTTGTATTGGTTAAAATAAGCATTTCCCAATTACTTCCGACCTTGAAATATAACAATGATAATGATATACAGAATGTGGGATTTCCCAAAATGTGAACAATTTTATTTTTTAGTTGCAGTCGTAGACAGGCAAAAATAATGAAACTGTCATACAAAATTAAATTCTTACGTGCCAGTGATGGTAACACAAAAAGAATGGAGACCTATTATTACATTTCCAAATGAAGAAAAAGGTCCTTACTTGTAAATATGGTCAGTCAGTCAAAATAATTCAGAAGAGTATTTGGACTGGCTGACCATGTTTACCAGGTAAGAATTTAATCCAAATGCTGCCTGCCTTTTAGACCTCATATAATCCTGTAATTAATGTCTTCTGTCAAAGCTAAATCTTAAGAGCAGGGAGCTATTTATCCTGCTCAGTCAGTGGTAGAGATACATAATAAATGAAATAGATTAAGAGAGATAAACACATTTGCCTTTACACTTTGGATATGTCTTTTCACATCATTAATCTGTACATCACTAGTTGATTAATTTTGTACATATACCTACATACTTATATGTATATAATACATTTGTAAATAAATACATAATTTTAATATTAGAAATGACGGTGAGTGAGGTGGAACTTGACCAAGAATACTACCCACTGTAGAAACAAACATGTATTTATGACATTAGATGTAATGTTAGATTTCTTAATAATTTTTGTTTTATTTTTGTTTAAAAATGCATTTAAAATATAAACTGAAAATAAAATTGGAATTCATGTAAAGCAATGCCTTCGTAGCACACATATTTAAATCAAGAGTTCCTGAATCCAGTATTCTAAAAATGGAATTCCATTCATTCTCCTGTCCCCTCTCTCTATATCCTGTAAACATCTCAGCAGATTTCAGAAATGAATGGGAAATTGGGGAAATGAGGAAGCTGGTTTGCTAATGGATTTTAGTTAACCAATATATATTATTGGAATTAGTCTGTGGTCACAAACAAATTTATTATGGCTTTGGCAAATGTGCCCTTAAAAAAATATGTTTCTTACAATCGCTCTTTGGAAGACCTGTAAGTTAAAAGTATTGCTTTTTATCAGGGAATCACAAAAGTCAACTTCATCGGATATTTCAAGAATCGTTTTGTATTAAAGTACAGTCAAATTATGGTGAACTTGTAAATTTGACTAAAGTGAGAAACAAAATGTAAGTATAGTATTTTGATTTACTGGTAATTATTCATAATTATATTCATGGAAAATGTACTTCATAATAAATTATCATTTGTAAGAACATTCTAATAAGAATGGCAATTCAAGTTCTTTTTTATATAATGTTCATAAGTGGGAAATTATAATGCACTAAACTAATGCCCTCTGGATGCATTGGGATTTCCAGTTTTTGTCACCATGATGTAAAAAAAGATGCTGAAACTCTAGAAAGAGTGCAAAGATGCTCAAGGGACTAGAGGCTAAAACTTATAAAGAACGGTTGCAGGAATTGGGTATGCCTAGTTTAATGAAAAGAAGGACGAGAGGGGACACGATAGCAGTGTTCCAATATCTTAGGGGCTGCCACAAAGAAGGGGGGGCAACTTATTCTCCAAAGCACCTGAAGGCAGGATAAGAAGCAATGGATGGAAACTAATTAAGGAGAGAAACAACCTAGAACTAAGGAGAAATTTCCTGACAGTTAGAACAATCAGTGGAACAACTTGTCACCAGAAGTTGTGGGTGTTCCATCAGTGGAGATTTTTAAGAAGAGATTGGACAACCATTTATCTGAAATGGTATAGGGTTTCCTGCTTGAGCAGGGGGTTGGACTAGATCAGGGGTGTCAAACTTGCAATGTCACATGACGTGTCATGACAATATCATTACTTTTTTGCCATTGCTGGCATTGAGGTAGGCACGGTTTTGTTATGATGCATCCGGCCCGCAGGCCGGCAGTTTGATACCCCTGGACTAGATAGAAGACCTCCAAGGTCCCTCTTGTTATTCTGTTAACTTGAAGTCTCACATCTTCCAACAAACTAAGCATCACAGTAGATAAAGATTACCTCCCCTGCATATGGATTGCATATAGCATATGGATTCAAAGTTCCAACATCTGGAATGTGTCATAATTATATATTACATAATATGTTACATACTTGTTATAATCATGTATAACATAATGTTATAGATATTATGAGCAGGACTTTAAAAAGTGTTTTGCTGGGCCTAACCAAAGTACCATCTAACCCAACAGAAGTTGGGCAGATGCTTTTTTGATGTTCAAAAACAGAACATGAAAGTCCTCAGTTGTGCCCACTGGTATTCAAACTCATATAAATCATTTTTTGAATATAGAGTTTCCATTATCTAACTTTAAGATTTAATTCTAGTTCATTTGCATCCTTTAAATTATTTAAGATAATGTATGTCACCACCTATTTTAACACTACACGTATTAATTATTATAGAGTGCCTGAAATATTTCCTTTTGTCAAGTCAGTGGAACTGTAGTTCCAAAATGCTATTTGAAAGAGAAGCTTATCTTTTGCTGTTTCCTTTCTCTCATTCATATTTTTTTATGTATTAGTGTTCTGTTATCCTAAAATAAAAGCCCCAGATGCCTCAGCATTTTCTCAGACATTACTTCCATGGATGCAACTGAACATTGGTTTCGGCTGCAATCTGAATTTATCTACTTCTATTTTTTGATAAGAATGAAACTAAATATTGAAAATTGTATACTGTATTGGTTTGACAAATCCATGTTTTCTGCAAACAAAGTTACTTGTTGCATTTTTCAGTCATTTTTGCTAATTGTGTTTGACCTGACGAAACTTTTGTTTAGAACATTTACAGATCAGCCATACAGCACTTGGCAAACAGTAGATCCAGAAGAACTTAGAAGATTCCAACGGCTGGCACACAAATGGTGGGATGAGGATGGAGACTATGCAGCCCTACATTCTATGAATGATATCAGAGTGCCTTTTATTAGGTAAATTTTTAAAATACATTAACATTTTCAAGCTTTTGCTAGGAATTTGAAATTAGTAAGCATTATCCACTTTTGAAATTGAATCATAGCCTTAGTTAGTACTGTTTAGTTAAACCTTGTGTGGATCCAAAACTGTAAAGTACAGTGCATATAAAAATTTACACACTCCTGTTAAAATGCCAGGTTTTTGAGATGTGAAAAAAATCGAGCCAAAATAAATCACTTCAGAAGTTTTTTTTCACCTTTAATATAAGTTGTACAATTTAACTGAAAAACAAACTGAAATTTTGTAGGGGAAAAAATAAAAATAAAACTCTTACAATTATGTGGTTGCATAAATGTACACACCCTTAAACCAATACTCTGTTGAAGCACCTTTTGATTTTTTGACAGCATTCAGTCTACCAGCATGGCACATCTTGCCTTGAGAATCTTTGCCCATTCTTCCTTGCACAAGTGCTCCAAATCTATCAGATTGTGAAAGCATTTCCTGCGCACAGCCCTTTTCAGGTCACCCCATAAATTTTCAACTGGATTCAAGTCTGAACTGGGCCATTCCAAAAGTTTGATCCTCTGGTGAAGACATTCCTTTTTTGTTCGTTTGGAGGTGTGCTTTGGGTACTTACGTTGAAAGGTGAAATTCTTCTTCCTCTTCAAGAAGACCTTTTAGCAGAGGTCTGTAGGTTTTGTGCCAAAATTGAATGATTGGAACTATTCCTAATTCCCTCCACTTTAACTAAAACCCCAGTTCCAGCTGACGAAAAGCAGCCCTGAAGCATAATGCTGCCACCATCATGCTTCACTGTGGGTATGGTGTACCTTTGGTGATGCACAGTGTTCTTTTTGCACCAAACATACTTTTTGGAATTATGCCCAAAAGATCTCATCAGACCAGAACACATTTTCCCACATGCTTTTGTGAGATTTGATGTAGGTTTTTGCACAATGTATCTGGGCTTGGATGTTTTTCTTTATAAGAAAAGATTTCCATCTTGCACCCTACCCCACAGCCCATACATACAAAGAATATGTTGTCCCATGTAGTACACAATCAGTATTTGCTAGAAATTCCTGCAGCTCCTTTAATGTTGCTGTAGATCTTTTGGCAGCCCCTGGGAAGAGTTTTTCATCAATTTTTAGAGGGACACCCAGTTCTTGGTAATGTTGCTATTGTGTCATATTTTCTCCACTTGTTGATGTCTGTCTTCACTGTGTTCTGTGGTATATCCAATGCTTTGGAAAGCTTTTTGTAACCTTCTTCTGACTGATACCTTCCAACAATGAGATTGCATTGATACTTTCTAAGCTCTTTGCAGACCAGGCCTTTTGCTGTAAGAGTAAATGTCAGACAAATCCTACTAGAACAACTGAACTTTATATGGGCTTGATCAGAGTCACTTTAACTGATGGCAGTTGTATACCGACTACTATTTAACTTCAGTTTGAATGTGATTGGTTAATTCTGAATGCAGCCACATCCCTACTTATAAGAGGATGTGCACACATATGCAACCATGTTATTGTATGTTTTTATTTTTTCCCTGAAAAGATTTAAGTTTGTTTTAAATGAATTGTACAGCCTGTATGTTATATGAAAGGTAGAAAAAAATTCTGAAGTGATTTACCTTGTTCTGATTTTTTTTTACATCTTAAAAACCTGGATATGTTGACTTTATATCTAGTGTATAATTAATGGTAAATTAAACAGAATTACACTTCTCTCTGTATTTCTAGTGAGAAGTCAGTCTCTGAATGTTACCATCACCATTTGCAAGTCAGTGACAATATTAATTAAGGAATATTTTGATCAGTTACAGCTATATTTTTGAGTAAATGTTGCTTCTGGAGGTGTGTGGTTTTCAACATATACTGTTACAATAGATATTGTAACAGTGTATGTTGAAAACAAAGTTGTTGATAATAAATTGATTTTTCTCTTTATGACACTTTAAAAGAATAAAATGTTGCAGTTGTGGTAACATGCACGAGTATTATTTGTTTTAATTAAATCATACTTGTTTTCTATTTTGTATAAGAGATACTATATTGAATCTGAGAAATGACCATCAGCCAGGAAGCCCACTCTTTAACATGAAGATCCTAGATGTTGGCTGTGGTGGTGGACTACTAACTGAGGTAGCAATTGCACATTTAATGATGATGAATGTCCTTCTCTTCTGCCTTTAATTAATAGGAAATGCCAAGCTTTTAAATATTTTTTTTTAATTTCTTTAAAAACTCTGTTCAGCTAACGTTAACTCTCCTTGAAACCCCAAAGACATTTGCTTTCAGCATCATGGGAATTGCTGTCACATTTTACTCAGATTAGGGTTACCCACATTTTACCCAGATATTGAGACTCTAGAAAGAGTACAGAGAAGAGCAACAAAGATGATTAGGGGATTGGAGACTAAAACATATAAGGAACAGTTGCTGGAACTGGGTATGTCTAGTTAAATGAAGAGAAGGATGAGGGGGACATGATAGCAGTGTTCCAATATCTCAGGGGCTGCCACAAAGAAGAGGGAGTCAAGCTATTCTCCAAGGTGCCTGAAGGCAGGACAAGAAGCAACGGATGGAAACTGATCAAGGAGAGAAGCAACCTAGAACTAAGGAGAAACTTCCTGACAGTTAGAACAATTAACAAGTGGAACAACCTGCCTCCAGAAGCGGTGAATGCTCCAACACTGGAAGTTTTTAAGAAGAGATTGTCCGAAATGGTATAGGGTTACCTGCCTGAGCAGGGGGTTGGACTAGATGATCTCCATGGTACCTTCCAACTTTATTATTATTATTATTATTATAGGTAGCTAGTAAGAAACAGGCTACATGTTTTATATTGCCATTTAGGGCAGGAAACCTGATCTATACCAGCCGGCAAAAAACTTCATCAGGGGGCGGGATAGCTGGTTTCCCCATTGCTGATTAAAGAGAGAACTCCACCATCTGCAGTGGGTTATTAAGATAGAAAGAAACTAAGGCAAATGTAAGGGGACTGAATATGTCTCTGCTTGTGAAGATGTGCGGGCGTTAGAATGACTTTATATACATGTGTGATTCCTAACTCAGAAATTGTGTATCTCTTGGCAATAAAATGTTTTCCAAACACTACAGCATGAAATATAGGCTTTAAATCCTTCTGCTTTATTGAAATTTCCACCACATTTGCCATTACTCCATTTGAGTGATTTTAAATTGCAGTTTTGAGCAAATGGCACGTTTCCCCCCCCCAAACCTTTAAAAATGATATTAGTATACTTAAACAACATAATTTCACTTTCACTTTAATTATATTTGTCTCATTTAATCAATTACAAAATAAGAGGCAGAATTAGTCTAAGGCAAAAGAAAAGGTAACTGTTAACAGGTCTAAGAAACATTTTTGGGTAGCCAATATTTTAGGATACCCAACTTCAAGATAATCAACTGAAAAATTCCATAATGAAATGTTAGGATTCATGTTTTATTATTGCAATATTTATTTTTAGAGGGCAAGGAAGCATTAGCATTAAGCTTAAATAACTTTAGTTATATTTGTAGGTGATATGAAGTCTTTTTCATAGTTTAATATAGGAGAAAATGACATATTTATGATATTAGCCCCTAGCTAGACTGGGAGCTTCAGTTACTGGAATTGATCCTTTGGAAGACAGCATCCGGACAGCGGAACTGCATAAATCATTTGATCCAGCCCTTACCAAAAGGATTCAGTACAGAGCCTGTGCACTAGAAGATATTGTGGAGGAGGGATCAGAACAATTTGACATAGTTGTTGCTTCTGAAGTGGTAGAACATGTGGCTGACGTTGAAAAGTTCATCAAATGCTTTGGTGAAGTATTAAAAGTAAGTTTAAAAAATGATAAAGTAGATCTCAGTGCTATTTTTTTTTTACTATAAAGATCGGTTCTTTTTGCATTTATGTGTCTTTTTACTTTAGTCGCTCATTGCTCCAAAATTATAAAATTTTGTTCATAATATATTCTGATTATCTAGACTGAACGCAGTCAGAATCTTCATATTATTCCCTTTCCATTCCGAAAATATTGATCTAGGCAATCTAAATGGTGAATAAATATGAATTTTATTCATTTATTTTATTTTGTACGTTACTCAATTTTTCCCTAGGGATTTGGGCAAATAGCATTAATTTTTTTCAGCTACATAACTTTTTTTTCAGTAGAGTCCTTTTATCCATATATAGATGTAATTGACTTAAACTTTTTACATTAACTTTTTAAACTAAATGTTGTAATTATATTCTTTATATGCTTTTTTATTATTAGTTGTATAAATAACCAAGTTGCAAATTGTCCTTTGTTTTATATTAGCCTGAAGGTTCCCTCTTTATCACTACACTGAACAAAACTCAGCTCTCCTATATTTTTGGCATTGTCATTGCTGAGAAATTACTGGGTATTGTTCCAGTAGGCACTCATGACTGGGACAAATTCATATCACCTGAAGAGTTAGAGCGTCTTCTGGAATCAAGTGAGTATTAAATCTCAAGGAGGCAAGCAATCATATAGCATCCTTTAAATACTAATTGACTTTGAGTTCTCTGTAAGAAAGAAGTTGCACAAAGAAAACACTTTGGTCAGATGATTTTGAAAAATGAAAAGTTAGTACTCTAATAGTGCATCTTTGCTCAACCTGGTCTCTTCCAGCTGAGCCAATTCATTGTTGGCACTATTGGTTGAGAATTCAGGAGTTCAAGTCATGGCACATCTGGAGAATTCCAAGTTGAAGGAGAGTGTGACAGCAATTTGGTGCCTTCCAGATAAGTTGCAACTTTTATCATTACTGATTCATAGGATATTTATATAAATCTGATTATTTTAGGGAGGAGATACAAAAATACTCCTTGGGCATGATCTTGCTTTTCTAAGGCATATTTTATTCCATATTAACATTCTCTGATTAAATAGTTGCAATTTTAACATCAGCTCCCCTACTACCACTGCTGCTATGTTTTGCATATATTTCCCTTGTGTGTGTGCTTGTGCTTTCATACTCCCTTCCTCTCCAATTTCTTCATTCTCCAGTGGGATGAGGGGAGAATAAAAGAAGTCAGCATGCAAGAGATTGCATTCCGAAACTGCTTGGGTTCCTGCACCTCCAATCCCAAAGTGGAGAGATTGGAAAAGAAACAGAGCAAACAGCACACAACAAAGTAAACAGAGTAAACAGCACACAATGGAGAATACACTGGACTGTTTGCATAGTGTACTTGGGACTCCTGGCACCAGCACATTGCTTTCAATGTGTTTTTCCCCACTGTCTGTTTACTTTCCCTTTCGCCAATGCCTATAAATGCAAACATGTGCTGCCTCCCTGCTCTACCCCAGTGCCAGGGTGAACATTCCAAAGGAGAGGGAGTGGGTTTGGAAGCAGACAAAAGCCAGACGTGTAACACTGATTAGTCTTCTCAGTTTCAAGCTGGCTATCATGGCAGGCCCAAGTGAGCTTTCCAAAGGGTGGAGGAAGTGAGAAAAGGAAAGCACAGTCATGGTCACACAGTTTCCCACTTAGTGACCTCTTCACTTAAAAGAGTAGCTGGTCCCAATTGTAGTCGGTAAAAGAGGACTACCTACAGTAATTTCACAATTGTGTCAGAATTATATTGCAAGAGCTTGGAGGCATTCAGTGTAAATGATAGCTTTTTTTTTTAAAAAATGTCCTCAATCTGTTTCCTTTCTTTTCCTTACCTGCAGATGGTTTTTCAGTTAAGGTGGTCAAAGGCATGTTATACAACCCCATTTTTGGATCCTGGAGCTGGACTGGAAACACTAGCATTAACTATGCACTCCATGCAATTAAATCAAGCATACAAGAACAACAGGATCTAAAGGAAGCCTCCACAGAGCATCAACAAACAGAAGCTAACATCAGAACTGCTAGCTAAGACAAAGTGTATAGTTGCTGCGGAAGCACGGAAGAAGATGTGATAAATAGCTGTAATAAATAAGAAAGGGGCAAGCAATCTTGTTTTTAAAATGTTAGCTAAAATATTTGCTGCCATCTCAGCATACATGCTAGAGGAATTATTGTTCATAGTATCAGATATTTGTGGGTAAACATTCTTTGCAAGTGGCTGGAAGTCTGAAATAATTGTCAGAATGATTGTTTTTAAGACTTTAGAATTATTGGTTTTTATTGCCATTTATAAAATCATTACATTCAACAAGTGGTCTATTTTTAAATGTAAAATCATATACATCACTTTGCTTATTTTTTTTCAGGGTTAACTTTGAGCATGATGTTACAGCTCTAAAGAGAGTGAGGCCAAATTCTATGTAAAGACCAATTTTTGAGCCTAGAATTTGTAAGTGGAAGTTCCAAATTACCCACTTATTCAGATGACATAGGGCCACCAAATCAAATTCAAAAATTCAAATCACCAGCAGAGGGCAGAAAAGTGATGCAGAAAAATTAACTCTTTGCTGCCTTCTAGTGGCTATCTGGAATTTGAAGCCCAAAACTGGTAATTCTAATTGCCAAGCCTCACCTGCCTTTTATATCACCCCCCCCAATTCTTTTAATTAAAAAAGAGGGACATTGAAATGTTGCAGACTGCATCTTGCCCCGTCATCATCTTTATTTCTAAAAATGCTGTGGGAACCAAACAGGTTTCATGCACTTACTTAGGAATAAAAATAATGGGCAACTGTAAACATTTGCTTAGAAAAAAAAGAATTGAATTAAACAGCGGTAGTAGGGAATCTCCTTTGTGTGTGGGGAGATAAATAGGTGGCCTTCTAATTAGGTGCTTTGTTGCTAAGTTCATATGTATATATGTATGGAATTGTGGATAAAGCTCACATGTCAGTTGCAGAAGTGTCCATGACAAGTTGTTGAGGTGTAAAATGTATGTGCTGCCCAGAACTCATTAGAGACAAATTGTAGCTAGCTGCTACAATGGCTTTTAAATAGGTTTTATTAAATAAATCAAAGTTGAATTCACATACCATGCTAAGACAAAATACAAAGATAACATGGCTTAGTGTGATGTATGAATCTGATTCTGTTACAGCTTTGGTTCATGACATTAATGCACATAGAGATCCTAAATACTTTCCTTGATGTAGAAAAGCAGAACAAGGGAATGGGATGCATTGTGTGAATTGTCTATTGGGAATGTAAATCCTTCCTCTTTTATCGGGCTTTCTTCCCTTCACAGAGATTTTCTACTGAAAATGTTAGGAAATAACCTTCACCTTTCTATATCTGTTTCAGGATCTATTTGCTTTATGGTGGAAGGTAGTATTGGAGTATTAAATGAGGAAATTTGGGGTAGTAGGAGGGGAGAACATGATCATAACTGGTAGGAGATGATCAGTGCTTGCTTCTTTGAATGTTTAGTTACTTTACTCTATGGGCAGAAGAAAACTGACACCAGTAAATGGATCAGGAGGATTGAGGAGGCAGCCGGTGGCAGCGCGAAGCAGCGGACCGGTGAGGCAGCTGGGGGCAGCGCCGAGGAGGCGGTTGGAGGCAGTGTGAAGCAGCGGACTAGTGAGGCGGCTGGTGGCATGGACTGGGAGGGCTGCAGGCGGCAACGAGGCAACACGACAGAGACAGCGGAACAGCGGAGGAGAACCTGGCTGAACGTCGAAGATGGAGCAACGGCTAAAGGCAACTGAGGGCAACTAGAAAGACCGGATGAACACAGAAGGGCAGTCAAAAAAAGCAAGGCAGAGAGGTAAGAGATAAATAAGGAACAAATTAAGAAAAGGACAGATAAGGATGAATTTTTAGGCAGAGAGCAGAAAGCTAAAAGCAAAACCCTTGTGGAGAAAGCAGCCCTTCCCTTCGTTAAATAGCCCTATTCTAATATTAACGTTTAACCTCAATACAAACTGCATTTTTTTCTCTTAAAACCAAGGGGCATACTACCACATACTTTTATCGATACCAGAATAATAAGGCACAAAAACAAGCACAAACAGGCAAACAAAAAGATAGAAAAAATAGGCATAATTACCTAGAACAGAGAAGCTAGAAACAAAGCTAACAGCAAAGCACATCCACCAACCAAAAAGAGGGATTTTCAAACAAGAAGCTCATGGAACAGGTGACTGATACTATTGTGGTACGCAATACATGTTCCATGTATGTGCTTATGCCCAAAGAACACCCAAACTATACATGCATTAGATATAAATTATGTGAACTACTACAGGAAAAAGGAACTTAGAGGCAGCTCTAGCCATACCCCAACGTACAAAAGAAAGCTCCACCCAAACTGAACCAAATAATGAACAAATAACTCCCAGTGGATTTGACCCTATTGATAAACCCTTGGAGGAAGACAAATGGAGGTATGTCACACACAGAAGAAAACACAATACTCAAAGAAATAAGCAGCATACAACTAACAAACCCCTTCTGCCCAATCCAACCCAACCAGAAGCAGCCCCATTAAAATTGAGTGATCAATTTTTCCCCTTACATGGAAACATGCAGACCCACAACCTCCCCCTCAAAGAAAACATGCAGACACCTAGCAAAGAAACAACTTCAAATATCCCTAAAAAAGTCACATCAACAAACACACCTGAGATAAACAGAAAAGCACTCCAAACTGCAGCCTCCCAAAAAGAAAGGAGAGTGTTGGTAATAGGAGACTCTATCCTCAAAGGAAAAAAATCATCCATCTGCAGGCCAGACATACAATCCAGGGAGGTATATAGTCTCCCTGGAACAAAAATCAAAGATGTGGCTGAGAACCTAACCAAAATAATTAGGCCCACAGATTACTACCCCTTCCTCCTTCACATTGGGATGAGCGACGCAACAAAGAACCTGAGTACAATAGTGTGAGATTACAAACAACTAGGCAATAAAGTTAAGCTAGGAGCACAAGTAGTGTTCTCATCAATACTCCCAACGAAAGGCCAACATCCATTGAGGGAAAAAAGAATTCTAGAAATAAACCATTGGCTAAAGGATTGGTGTCACCAAGAAAACTTTGGTTTTCTGGATCATGGACTGCATTTCTTATGTGAAGGACTCATGGCAAGGGATGGGCCGCACCTCATGAAAACAGGGAAAAATGTACTTGGAAAAAGACTGGCCCAACTCATCAGGAGGGCTTTAAACTAAAATCGAGGGGGAAGGGTGTCCAATCTCTAGAACCCAAAAACAATCACAAATCACATGAAAACAAACAATGAGGTAGGCAGTGATGAGGAAAAAAACCTCAAGCAACAATCAGAAGATGCAGGAAACATACCCGTGGACAGGCATAAAAGTCTTAAATGCTTATATAAAAATGCTCAAAGCTTGGGGAAAAAACCAGGGTGAACTAGAATCAATAATACACGAGGGAGGGTATAACATAATAGGCTTTACAGAAACCTGGTGGGACGAAACCTATGAATGGAATGGACTGATGGATGGATACAAATTGTTCAAAAGAAAGGGTCTACAAAAAGTGGAGGGGAAGTTGCATTATATGTAAGAGAACACTACATACCTACAGAAATCACATGATCAAAGATAAAATCTCTCCAGAATGTATATGGGTCAATATAAAAGAGAAAAAAGTGACATTGCCATAGGTGTATATTACAGGCCACCCAACCAATCAGAAGAAATAGATGAACTCTTTGCCAACCAGTTAACAAATGTATGTAGGAAGCATACCTCAGTAGTAATGGGAGACTTCAACTATCTGGATATCAACTGGGAGACAAACTGCAGTGAGCAGAAGATCAAACAGATTCCTAACCAACCTAGCCAACAACTTTGTCACCCAAAAGGTGGAGGTGGGAATTAGACATAAAGCTATACTGGACTTAATCTTTATTAATAGAGAAGAAGTGATAGAGGGAGTTGAAGTTGCCAGAACCTTGGGGAAAAGTGACCACGTCATACTGCAATTTAATATAATGCAAACATAGCAATAAAAAACAATCCAACCAGTGTCTTAAACTTCAAAAGAGCTGACTTTAACAAACTCAGAAAGAACTTAGGAAAGATCCCATGGATCCTAGAGGAAAATTCTGAAAAATGTGATCATAAAAGCCCAGACCAGCGCAATACCACTGAAAAAGAAAAACAAATTCAAGAAGAAACCAGCATGGCTGCACAAAGATCTCTCTAACAAACTGAAAGACAAAAAGGACAAATGCAAAAAATGGAAAGAGGGGCACATAACTAAGGCTAATTATCAGCAGACAGCCAGAACATGCAAAGACGAAGTCAGGAAAGCAAAGGCTCAGGAAAGTAAAGGCTCAGAACGAACAAAGACTTGCAACAGAAATCAAGGATAATAAAAAAAAGTTTCTTCCAACACATTAACAACAAGAAAAAAGTCAAGGAAACTGTAGATCCACTAAAGAGAGAAGATGGCAAAGAAATAACAGGCAACAGGGAGAAAGCAGAACTGCTTAACTCATACTTTGCATCAGTCTTCATACATAAAGAAACTATAGCCCAACATACAAAAAAAAAAAAAACCACTGCAAAAGACAAACTAGAAACAAAAATTAAAATAAGAAAATGGTAAGAGAACCCTATCTGACCTTGAGGAGTATAAATCACCAAGACCCAACAGATCACATCCCAGAGTTCTGAAGGAGCTAGCAGATGTTATCTCAGAACCATTACACCACATCTTTCATAAATCCTGGAGCACCGGGGAAGTACCTGAGGATTGGAAAAGGGCTGATGTGGTTCCCATCTTCAAGAAAGGGAGAAAAACGGACCCAGGAAACAACAGACCAATCAGTTTAACATCAATACCTGGGAAGATCCTAGAAAAGATAATAAAAAAACAGATCTGCGAACAACTAGAAGCAAATAAATTTATAGCTAGTAGCCAGTACGGGTTTGTTAAAACAGATCATGCCAGGCCAATCTTATTTCATTGTTCAATAAAGTAACTAAACTAGTAGACCAATGAAATGCTGTGGATGTAGTATACTTAGTATACTTAGATTTCAGTAAGGCATTTGATAAACAACCTACTGCTTGGTAAGCTAGAAAAAAGTGGAATAGACAACATCACCATCAGATGGATCTGTAGCTGGCTGGCAAACTGTACTCAACGAGTAGTCCTCAATGGCACCACATCCACATGGAGAGAAGTAAGCACAAGGTTCTGTCTTAGGCCTAGTACTCTTCAATATCTTCAATGACTTAGATGAGGGAGTTGAAGGGGAACTTATCAAATTTGCAGATGACACCAAACTGACAGGAGTAGCCAACACCCCAGAAGACAAACTCAGGATCAAAAAAGATCTTGACAAACTTGAACAATGGGGCCTATCCAACAAAATGAGTTTCAATGTGGAGAGAAGCAAAGTTTTACATTTAGGCAGGAAAAATCAAAGGTACAAGTACAGATTGGGTGAGACCTAGCTCAAAAACAGTAACTGTGAGAGGGATCTTGGAGTCCTAGTGGACGATTACTTGACTATGAGCCGGCAGTGTGCAGCAGCAGCCAAAAAAGCTAATACAATCCTGGGTTGTATAAACAGGCATAGAATCAAGATCACATGAAGTATTAATGCCGCTTTATAAAACCCTAGTAAGACCACACCTGGAATACTGCAGCCAATTATGGTCACCATATCACAAAAAAGATGTTGAGAGTTTGGAAAAAATTCAGAGAAGAGCAACTAAGATGATCACAGGCCTGGAGACTAAAACATATGAAGAACGGCTGCGGAACCTGGGTTTGGCTAGTTTAAAGAAAAGAAGAAATAGGGGAGACATGATAGCAGCATTCCAGTATTTGAGGGGCTGCCACAAAGAAGAGAGGGTCACGTTATTCACCAGAGCACCAGAGGGAAGGACGAGAAACAATGGTTGGAAATTGACCAAAGAGAGAAGCAACCTGGAATTTAGGAGAAACTTTCTGACAATGAGGACAATTAACCAGTGGAACAGCTTGCCTCCAGAAATCGTGGGTGCTCCATCACTGGAGATTTTAAAGAAGAGACTAGACCAGTGATTCTCAACCTTTCTAATGCCGTGACCCCATAATACAGTTCCCCATGTTGTGGTGACCCCCAAGTGGGTGTGGCCACCAATAAGAGGGAGTAGGACAGCTAGGGAAAAGGGAAAAAAATGGCGGACAGCATGGTTTGGTGACCCCCATGAAATGGTCATTCGACCCCAAATGGGGTCCCGACCCACAGGTTGAGAACCACTGGACTAGACAGTCACTTGTCTGAGATGGTAGAGGTTCTCCTGCTTGAGCAGGGAGCTGAACTAAAAGACCTCCAAGGTCCCTTCCAGCTCTATTCTATTCTATCACTAATGTTCTAGTCAGACTTGCACCATAGAGAAATACTTTTTAAGTGTTCAGTGTCTGAGTTTTGCCACTGTTTCATCTTCACATTATATCTTGGCTACAAAAGTGCTTGGAATTATTTTGTTGGATGTTGATGTCACCTGCTTTAAGAAACATAGATTGCAAAATATGCTTCACAAGGGATAAAGCAGTATATTGTATTGAAAGGGCAGTAATTCAAAAATGGTTTGAAATAGAAATAGCTAAGGTATAGTCTTAGAAGACCTAAGATCTGCATTGCACTTATGATATTTTAAAAACAAGCCACAAACATTTTAAGCATTAGCAACATCAATAAATATTTTATATGAGGTTATGATAGTGCCATTGGTGCCTATCAGTTGAATAATGGAACTCTTTCCCTCTTTCCATATATAGCAAGAAAAAGACAATGATAGTATACTTCAGTAGTTGTTTGTAAGGAGACACTGTTTGTCAGGTTTAATTTATTCAGTGAACTTCAAGTTACTATATTATATTTCTTGAATGAGGACATCTACAGTGTCCTTTGCTCTGCTCCGTTAAAACAGCAAAGCTCCTGCATCAAAAGGATCTCATTCCTTGCCAAAGGCTGTCTTCAACAATGGTATCCAGAAACTGATTCTGAAGAAGGCTCGTGCATATTCTTGGGAAGAGCAAAGGTGACTAACGAACAAGCACTGGAGTGCATAACACCAGACATGTCACTGGAAAGCATAATCAAAAACTGTGTCTCACTTAATTTGCCCATGTCATGCAGAGGAATTCACTGGAGAAAGCAATTATGTTTGGAAGAGTTGGGCCCCCAAAGAACATGGTGAACACCATCAAAGATGACACAAGCCAGGGCATAGAACAACCCAAAAAAGTAGTGCAAGATTGGAAGACATGGAGAGACCTGGGCCGTAGAATTGCCAAGAGTCAGACATGCCTGAATGGATAACATCATCATCATCACCACCCACCATCATTGTCATCATCATCATCATTACCACCACCATCATCAATATTTAAAAATTAGCGGTCCAGGGAGTGAGCAGATACAGCCCTTTCTGCTTTTTCCCTAAATAGATTAGCTTTTAGAATTTATGTAAGTGAGGAAGAAGTACTTCTGCATATTGGTAGTTCTGCTATAAATTTTGCCTAGTTCTCAAGAGCAAGGAGCAATGGGGTATCACAGGAGTGCTGTACTATTCTTAACTTGAATTTTGCCTCAGAAGCAATCCCTTCAAACTGAGTCTTAGAAATGGTTTCAACTATTTAATCTCTTCCTGTTTGGGATAAACAATAAAGTGTCTCAAAGGTACCTGAAAGCTGGTGATTATTTCACTGGATTATTTTAGAAACCAAAGTAAAATCCATCTTGGTAGCCCAAAGAATTAAACCAAGCTATTTATCTTTAGAGTAAAAGGTTGAGAAGAGATACCTTAGCAAGATGTCACTAGAGAATATTAAATACTGTATGTATTTGCTAAGGTAAAGAAAGATCCTCCACTCCTTACTATTATTTTGTTTAGAGCACTTAAGCTGGCACAAAGATGTGCTAGCAGAGACAGGCCCCTTATTAATGTATAGCTTCTTGTACAATCTATGGTTGTGCTGAAATAAGGTACAATATTAGAATAGAAGATTTGCTTAGAATAACAAGAGTTGGAAGGGATCTTGCAGATCATCTAGTGCAAGCCCTTGCCCAAGCAGGAGATCCTAAGTGCCAGGGGTAGGCAACCTTGGCTCTTTTATGACTCATGGACTTCAACTTCCAGAATTCCATGCTGGCTCAGGAATTCTGGGAGTTGAAGTCCACGAGTCATAAAAGAGCCAAGGTTGCCTACCCCTGCCCTACACCATTTATTTCTGTCATCTCAGTAATGGCTGAATGATATTTGAAAATGCTTTAAGTCAGCGGTCCCCAACCTTTGTGGTTTGGCAGCCTGGCTGGGGGAGAGAGAGATACTGGGTTGTGTAAGGGTGGTCCAATTCCCAATAGGCCACAGCCTGGTAGTGAGCCATGGCCCAGGAGTTGGGAACCCCTGCTTTAAGTCACAAGTGGGGATCCTGCTATAACTCATGAGAGCAAGAGAAGCAGAGCCAGTGTTCTTGGGTTTGTCTTTGGCAATTTTGAAGTTCAGATACTCAATTTTGTCTCATCCAAAGTTGGCTAATTTCTGTAAGAAAAAGTCAATGTGTACATTCAGTTGCCCTGCAAAGAATTACGGATGGGGATGGATACTTTCTGGAACCAATTCTTTTATGTAGAAGAATATTTCTTAAGTAAAAGATAGAGAAACATGGAAATTTGATTATCGAAAAAGCCAGTTGCCTTCATAAGAGAGAAATGGCTGCAATGAGTCCCGATATTAGGTTTGCAGAAGAAAAGGAACCCAGGAATGGCTTATATCATCCCCCTTACAACATTTCCTTTCAGTAAGAGATTTATTTTCAAAACCACCTGCTTGCTAACTTATAGGCACCCTGACCTTGGATATCCCCAATCCACCATGACATCGTGTTCGACCAAATAAAGCCTGCCGAATGGAAACTCAAATCTCTACAGAGGAAAGCAGTAATCAAAACTTAAAAGGGAGAGAAATAGAGAGATGCTGGGGGGTCGTATAAAACGCCGAAACACGTAGACGCTAAAACACAAAGGTCGGCTGTACCAAACGGAAGCGGTTTCATTTTTGCTCGGATGCTGCTGCTCGCCGCTTGAAGTGGAGGCCACGTGACACAATCCTGGCTGATGCCACGAAAGATGCGGGACACAACAGCATCTAAAACAACAACAATAACAAAATGAACCAATAGAAGAGAACTCCGCTTCCCCGGAACGGTATATATGCTCATCTCCCAACTATCCCTCGCTCTGCCTCCCTTCCCGGTGCCGGGGCGGGGCATCTAGCTCCCCCCTAAAATCGTGCCCTTCGCTTAACGAGCGATCTCCGTCTTCCTCTCCGCCAATGTAGCTGTTTTGGTGTTTAATTTCCCACGGGGCGGATTGGACCCGCTCTCGGGTTTGTAGGCAGATTGAAAGCCATGACATCACCTCCCTCCCTCCTCCAGGCGAAGCCATAAAGACGAGAGGTAGCCGCAAGGAAAAAGCACCGCCGCTGCCGGTGATGGTGGTGCTGATGTTGCAGAGCTCGCCAAGGACACTCGGCCGAGCCTTCGCTGCCGCCGCTCTCTCCCTTTCCTCTTCCTCTTCCTCCTCCTCTTCCTCTTCCTCTACTGTCGAACTCCCAGCTTGCCCCTGCCGTCAGCGCCTTGACGCCGCCCGGTTTCTCCCTCATGCAGACGGCCCTGGCGTCCATCCGCGGGCAAACGGGAGCTAGCAACGCCCGCGTCGCGCAGCATGCCCTGGGGGGTTGGCTTCGCCTCATCCAGGTCGTGCGTGGTGGACCTAAGCAGGAATCAGAGCCTTTGGTGCGCGGGGTCCGACGATCACTTTTCCCTTTATGGGGAAATCATTGCTTTCCCACTGCAGGATTACGGCGGGATCATGACAGGGCTGGGATCTGATTCGTGGTGGAAGAAAACCCTTTATTTGACTGGGGGGGCCCTGCTCGCCGCTGCCGCCTATCTCTTCCACGAACTCCTGGCTATTAGGTGAGCGAGAGACCCGGGTGTTTGGAAGGAAGTCATAGATGCCGATAACGCAGCAGGGGGCACGATTGTGAGGATTGTGTTTTCATTAGAGCAAGGTTTCTTTGAGGTGGGCCGGTAGGATACAGATAATTGGGTTTTAAGAATACAGGCCTTAATTTAAGAGAAGGCTCTGTTCTGTACTCCAAAATCTACTTTGGATGTCAGCATTTAAGCCCCATGTGCAGGGCCTCTGAACATAGGCAGAGTGTTTTTCTAGTGATGGGCAAATGCATTCTGGGATTAAATGGTAAACTGATTTGCAGACTGCCACGATCTCTTTTGAACTATTACCCTCATAAAACTGAGAATGCACATTTTTTTTTTATTAGAAGGAAGATTTCTAATGTAGCCTGCATATTTTTAAATGGAAGATTAATTGTAAAAGAAATATCCCCATAAAACATTAGGAGTCAACGTTTAGTTATGAACTAGTTTAGAGGACCAGTTTTGGTGATGTAGTTCTGAATACTTCGTACACAAAATGAAATATTCCAGTCAACCAGCACTTCGGATGGACACATCTTTGCAGTTTTCTCTGACAATAATGAACATGTTTTAGTTCCCCAGCAGAGGCAACGCCTATTGTATTCCTTAATGTCTCCCATGCAACATAGTACTCAGGCCTAAACCTGTTTAGCTGCCATATTGGTTAGACATATAGAAACAGGCCAACTACAAGGTTTCCCACGATCTTCACTGAATTAATAGAAACACCACAACAACAGTTGAACAGAACTATGGCAATCTGATTTATACAGACTTTCATACTAAGCAAGTAATATTTATGCTAAAATGTATTCAGTAAATATGAGTTATGTGGTGATATTTAACAATAGCTCTTTCTAGTTTCTTAAAATAGAGTGATCGGAGTGATACCTGAATTTGATAAATGAATAAATAGAAAGGGAAAAAAAGTGGGATGGTGGTGGAAATAGTTTTTCAGTTTTTGTACATGGCTTTGCAAATTTTGGGATAATCAGACTTTCCTCATTTTAAAGACCACCAAATATGCTAGACTACACACCCAATCATCAAAAGTCAGTACTGTACTGGGGAAGTCTGTTTTCTCTTTGTTTGTGTGAGAATTGCTAACCTTAACAGGGAAACTGTTTAAACTCTATTGTGACTTGCCTCTTTCTCCAAGGGTTTAGCATCCCTCTTGAAAAAAAGGAAGAAATTCTGGACAATGTTGAAACCTTTATTCCTATGTTGTGATTGTTTTATGGGTGCCGATAAAAGTTTGTTGTTATGGGTTTTGCCACTCTCAATTCTGGATCAACCGGTATGAGTAATTGCAATTTTTAAAATACATTGCAAAAGCAAAGACCAGGAGCTCAGCCACACAATTACTTTATATCCAGTATCAGTTCAGTTATTAGTCACAAATCACAATGTTGGAGATGATACCTCATAGAAAAAAACAACAACTTTTTTTCAGACCAAGAGTCACATCTGGGTTTGGAGTGACCTGCTGGGAATCAGATTCCAAAAATAGGCAGGACCAGGACAAATAGGTGCAGCCAGACAAAAAATAAATTTTGTTTAATTAAACTTGCATTTATTTGAGTAAAATTAATGGTGACTTCCTATGTTTTTAATACGTTCGTCTTTCAATCACGTTAAAATTGACAGCTTTTTGGAAACTTTTGGAGAGGCACTGAAAGACCATCCATTAAAGTCTGCAGGGAGGATGAAACTAGCAAAAGGAAACTGCCTGTTTTCTGTCACAATTCAGACTTTATTGTGGTCGTGACCCAGTGTTTTGCTAAAAGTGATACACAAATTTAAAAATACAACATAAAGTGAAGAAAAAAAATTAGAAATACTTGTATGATCAATACGATGAGGTCATGGCAACTTTTACAAACGGTAAAATCGTATTTGGCCGCATTCAGTGAAATTGAGTCATATAGATCAGTGAACAGCAGCTATACATGGAATAGATCCAAATGACTTCAAAATGTAGAAAAGGAAGTTCTAAAATATAGCCGTGCAACAAAATGTTTTTAATATTTTCAAATTCTCTACCAGGCCACAGTCTTAATATATATGATTTGCCCCCTTAATTTCCCTTCAAGAACAACATCTAATTATGTTAAAAATGCTAGAGTTAATGTCCTTCTGAGTTTGGGGATAGTTATTTATACATCTTGCAGGACCAACTATTGTACTGTACTCAAAAACACATCTCTAGAGACAGCTGACAGATTTAATTGCCCTTCTGTGCCCATAACATGTAAAACACTTGGCACTGTTTACTTGTAGCCCAAATGGCATAGCTTTCCTTTGGGCACCACAACATCTCATGCATGCACAAAAGGGTTGGAGTTATGGCACAATGCCACAATGTTGCTTTCGTCACTTTAACGGAAGCAGCACTAATTCATATCTGTTCAGAAGAAAGCGCCTCTAAATTCAAGACAGCATAGTACCAAATAAGTAGATATATGACAGTGGTGGCGAGCACTCAGAGCCCTCTCTGTGGGCATGCATGCTGTCACCTCAGCCCTGCCTCCCCCTGTGGCCCCCTGCTCACCAGCAGCTCCCCTGAGGAGAGTCACCCCTGAGCATGGCCCACATGAAGCAGAGCAGCCAAGGACATGGCAGCCAGGCAGCGGGGACAAGACTCCACCCTGGTGCCCCATCGTACAGTTGATGCTGCAGGGCAAGGGTGGAGGGCGTGGCTGCCATGGTGCTGCTGGGCTACCTGGCAATCTGTGGCGGGCGGTGGAGGCAGTGAGAGGCCCTGAGGGTGGGTGGGGCTGGGGCTGGCTGGGGCAGAGCTGGGTGGAGGCCTGGTTTTTGGGTACTCGGTCTCTAAAAGGTTCTCCATCACTGATATATGACTTGCGGATTTGTAGGGTGCTTCAAGAAAGAAAATTCCTAGAATTATCTTCCAATGTTTAAATAATTGATAGTTTTAAAATCATGTTAAATCTGAGGATCAGTTTATTTGGAGCTGATTAGAGATATATTTGTTTTGTTTTGTTTATATTGTATGTGTCCTGCATTTTTCCCTCTTCAATTTTATTTTCACAATTATTCTGTGCGGTAGAGTAGACTAATAGATAATAATTGCCCTAAGAGCAATTAAAGAGGATTATATAGCTGGGCAGGGATTCAAAGCTGGGTCTTTGAATATTTGTCAACGCTGCTAATATTGAATATTCTTGCTTTCACAATATATGCAGAACTGTCTGGTATTTTTAGAGTTAAATCAGGTGACAGGGAAAGGGGAGGAGAAAATAAGGAAAGCCCGGGAAAAAGAAACGGAAGTGAATCTTTGCCCTCCAAGTTAATTGGAAGATGTGAATCATGACCCCAAAATAGGGGAGGGGAAGTGCCTGTTATGTTATGTGCAAAGGAAGGGAAATTCAGATCTTAGCATCCCACCATGTTGCGCTGACACTCTGTAATACTAATAAAGGCTTTTTAGGTTAAAAAAATGCCTGAAAGTTCTTTGAAGTGTTTCGTTAATCAGACACATGACAATATTTGTGTTCGTTTTTGATGTTAAAAGTTGGCCAATCAGGTCTTGAATGTGCAACAATGATACATTGTAAAGTAAGATTAGTGACTATAACAACTGCATAACTACTAAATTACCTCCCCGGTATGATAGAAAGAAGTTGATATTAATTTAGTGAGGTTAATGCCTAAATGTGAATTGCTTTATATTCTCTTGATCTGGTTATAAAATTATCTTAATATGATGTCAAAACTTTCACAGATTGCTAGTGGAGACATCAAAGCATAAATTTTTGCATAATTAATTAATTAATTAATTATTTTACAATGACTAAATTACAAACATAAAAGATTATATACAATTGTTTTAAATGAGATTATTGTATTTCTTTCTTACTTGGGTAGTATATGTCTTCCATAATGGCTCATGGGATTTAGATTTTGTTACAGAAGTCTCTTAAATGTGTTCCTTTTTTAAAGCAACAATCTGAAGCTTGTTAGATGTGCTTGATCATAAATCCAGAATTCTTAAATATCCAAAGAAAATATGTTGGGAAAAATTAGTGATTTTCTTACCTTTAACTGATCTGATTTATTACCGGTTGATTTTTAAATCCTAAGCAAATGCATAGATGATTATATATTGGAGAGTAAGTCCCAATAAATTCAGGGGGCAGGGATTGAGCAGATATGTCTAGCATTACCTTGTAATAGCATAATCCCAATCATGAGTAATTCCCACTTAATAGGCTCTTTTCTAAAGAGGTACACATGTACCGCTACCTTTAGTTAAATTACTTATGGAGGATATGTTTACTGTATTGAACTCAGACTAATCTCTAAAGCAGGGGTCCTCAACAGTGGCAACTTTAAGATTTATAGACTTCAACTCCCAGAATTCCTCAACCAGCAAAGCTGGCTGAGGAATTCTGGAAATTGAAATCCACAAGTCTTAAAGTTGCCAAGGTTGGAGACCCCTGATCTAAGGCAACTTGTCGTGATTGTTGTAAAGCTGGAAACAACTTAAAACGAACATAAGAGAATAAGGAATGTCCTGGTTAGGTCAGCCCTTAGAGATAGAACAGACTTTACAAGAATGTCTGGAGGTGGACTGTCAAAACAGAATCTTGAAAGCTGAACGGTGTTTCCCCTTTTTCCCTTGATATATTCCAGGGACTTAAGGAGAAGTCGCTTTGAATTTCTTTCTGATGTTTTCTTTGTTTCCCAGGCTTAAGCCATGTTTTTGTAACTGATGAAAGGTCATCTCTGTGACTCTCCATAGATCAGACATGTCAAACACAAGGCCCGGGGCTTGCCCGTGAAGTGTTTCATGTGGCCCACGAAGCCATCCTGGAAACAGTGAGGGAATGGCCCCTGCTGCCTTGGCCCTGGCCCAGGCCCACCGGGAGGGAGCCAATGTACAATTTTGTGGTGGCCCTCTATGCTGAAACATATTCAGTCTTAGCTCCACAAGGCCATCTGGAAATACGAGGAACCAGCCCCTCCCGTTTTGGCCCCACCCCCTGGGTGCATGCTGGGGAGGGGTCACCCTTTGTGAGGAATGAAGAAATGCATCATCACCTGGAAGTGGTCCTGGTCCCACCCCCTTCTGGCAGAGACCTTCAGATCTGTCCTATTCTTGCCCAGGCCCCCACAGGCACCATTGACGCGAATGATGTAGAGCTGGCCACGCCCACCCAGTAGGCCACACCCACTCCATCCACGCCCATCCAGTAGGCTGCACCCACTCTGGCCACACACACCCCCGAGGGCAACTGCAATGCTGATGTGGCCCTCAATGAAATTGAGTTTGACACCCCTGCCATAGATTAGTTATGTGACTCTGGGTGCTCTGCCCCAGGATATGGGGTTGTTTGGTCTAGTTAAGGCATTAGACTAGCACCAGAAAGATTTAAGCTCAAGTCTACCTTCTGTCCATTGGGTGATTGGGTGCTGATCTCTCTTTTTCAACCCAACCAGAGTATCTCATAGCATTCTTGTGGGAAGAAAGGGGAGAGAAAGGGTTATGTATAACAATTTGAATTTTGGAAGCAAAATCAGTTTATGGATATGATTAAAACATCTCCATAAGGCATAGTAGTTTTATTATTGCTGCTAACTAGCATTCACTTATTTAGAGTTCTATAGATAAATGGGGACAGTTGCAGAAAGAATTCCTGAGTTCCGTGACTATTAGTTATGTTGGGTGGGAATTATGGGAATCCCATTATTTCAGGACAGCTCTATATCCGAGAAGGTTGCTATTTGAGAACCATGGCTTCAAATCTTAAATTGTTATGAGGTGGCACCTGGTGCCACAATCTGCAAGTAAACCTATTGATTAATGGGAGTGGGATGATCCTGGAGCCTGTTCTGACAGATTAATTGTGCCAGGTAAAATAGTCATTATTCTGATAACTTGGATAAAGCAGATATCTGTTACATCTAAAAGCTTTGTCCATCTATGCAAAATAAAGACAAATCAGGGTAGCAGTACAGGTAATAATAAATGAGTTATCAGCTATTATGGATTATTGATGGGAATCCCACACCCTGGGTTGTGTTTGGATTTTTATTGTTTTTCATAACATTAGTCTTCTGCTATGGACATTCTGTTATTTTATTATATTGTTTTAACTGAAGAAGGGGTTTGGATTGTTGGAGTGGAGTGACATTTAAGCCCCAATAAATAAATAAAAATAGATAAATAATTATAATTGGCTAACTCAAAGTAGTGAAAACATTTCTTTATACTATATTTTCCGCAAGCTTGTAGAGTTAGTAAGATGGATTGATCCTGAAATATTATTTGTGTTGGTTTGAGTCATCATAAAAGCATATTCTTGGAACAACAATCAGTCAGTGTTTCAAAATATCATTAGCTACAGAGTGTGTTTGAGAGTAGAAAATATAGCAATAACACCACTTACAGTTTAGATACCAATACTGCAAGATCCCTCATGAATCACCTATCCAGCATGAGCAGCACAGATAAGAACACAAAAGCCTTCTTTGGTTCTTGTCAGAATCCACCAACCAGATGGAGAACCTGATGGAGGGTTGTGTTCCCTTGATCCCAGTTCCTAAACAGAGAGGGACTGTGTACTCAGCCTCAATTAATATTCTGTTGCAAAGCAGGGCTCAGAAGCCTGCGGATCACAAGGTATCCCAAGAATTTTCAAGTTTGCACTGCTGACATTTGATGCCGTATTTTCTCCTCTTGTTATTAACAAATGAAGCCATAAGATAGATTCATTAGAAGAAAGGAGAGGAGAGAGAAAAGAATAAAGGAGGGGAGAAGGAAGTAGGAAGGTTGGAGGAGAAGAGGAGAAGTGGGGAAAAAGGGAAGGAGAGTGGTGAAGGAAAGAGGAGAGGAAGAAGAGGGAAGTAGGGAAGAGAGGAAAGGGAGAAAGAAGGTAGAGAAGAAGGAGTGTGGATACAGTGAAAGGGGAAATGGGTGAGCAACACCAAAAGTCATGTGTATGTATTTATTTCATTTTATTAAAAGTATCTTATTTTAAAAAGAATATATGTTAACATCTGATAAATATCACGGTATATGTATGGGGGAGAGTTTGGAAAAATAAAAAAATATTAAAAAAAAGAGATTCATTAAACCTCTGTAGGGTTGTTAGACATGTTTACTGAGAAAGCCCCTACTCATCCCTCCTCAAAGTGCAAAATAAAAATAAAAAATAAAAATCTAGCTCTCAGAGGCTCTTTGAGCCATTAAATAAAAGCACTTGACCAGCTGAAAGAAAGATGGACACGTTATAGGAGATGGATTCTACAAAGCACCAAGATTGCCCCAGAGAATCATGGGTCTTATGAGAATTTTTACCAATAACTTGCAACAAGGAAATAGTCCCACAGGAGAATCTAGAACAGGCCATTTTTGTTTTGTCTGCCTCACAGAAAGTTGAAGAATCTACAAGTTGGAATGACAAAACATGTAAGATGAGAGATGGGTGAATAGGAAAGGAGCCCAATGATTGCTTTGCTTCACTTTCACTAGTCTTGTCCTCTTTGTGGCTTTTTTTTTTTATAATTTATATTTCAGCCTAAAAGCCAATGTCTGCTCTCAAGTCTGTTCGTATTGATATAATGTTTATTTTCTGGAATTGAAGCTAAATTTTGGTCCAGTCTCCTGGAACTTGGCTGGAACATATCCCCGTCAAATTCTGAAATGGAGATAATGCATTATTAGCCTATTCTGTTGGAAAAAGATTTTCCCTAAGTGCTGAGTAGAGGGAGGTAAAGGGACTCAAGAATTAAGGCATGTGATAAGAGTGCTGTGGCTGAAATGCAGAATCATGCATATGGATCTTTGTAAATAATGCAACTGATTGTAATGATGAAATGTTCATATACGATGTCAAGTCATGATAAATTTTGCCTTTTTCTAGTTGGGCAAGGATTAAAATGAAGACTAGGATAATTAAGCAATATTGAGGCTTTGCATGGTTATTTTGCATTCTTCGGGCACAAATAAAGAGGGCCATAATTTGGCCATTGAATTTCAATAGCCCTTAGGCCAGGGGTCTTCAAACTTGGCTCTTTTATGATTGTGGACTTCAATTCCCAGAATTCCTCAGCCAGGCACTCTGGCTGAGGAATTCTGGAAGTTGAAGTCCACAAGTCATAAAAGGGCCAAGTTTGAAGACCCTTGCCTTAGGCCATGGATTGTGCATCCTTGTACTAAGTCAAAAGAGAAGCAGGTAGCCCTTGACCTACAGCTAATTGTTTAGCAACCATTCAAAGTTATAATGGTACTGAAAAAAGTGACTTACAACCAATCTTTGCACTTAATGACCACCGCAGCATTTCCATGGTCATGCAATCAAAATTCAGCCACTTAGCAACCAGAAATTTTACCACAGTTGCAGTGTCCCAGGGTCATGTGATCACCATTTGCCACTTTCTCAGCTGAGCTTCCAAGAAACAAAGTCAATGGAAGAAGCTGGATTTGCTTAACAACTGTGGCAAAAAGATCATAACATTGGGTTGATTTATTTAACAACTGCCTTGCGTAGCAATGGAAATTCTGGTCCCAACTGCTGTCGTAAGTTAAAGACTTTTTGTATCTCATTGCATAGTGTGTGAATCCAACAATAGCATCAAAGGCAGTACTGGCAGTAGGGGAACAAAGGTCTATAATTCTAGTTGAAATGATCTTCTAGTTCATGAAGACATCTGTCTTGGTATCACACCAAGTGAAACAATGCACAGTATTCTAATGACTTATGCAGGGTGATGCATAGTTCAACTTATTTCTGCCTCTTTTATCTGGGAATTTGAGAGATATGGAGTATAATAATTACACTGTGCTTTTTGTATGTACTTTTATTTTTAAAGGTATGGCTGCTTGTTTTAGTTTGTCTTTATTATCTAGTGGCATGGGCTTTTGGGGCAAAGGACAGAATAGAAATAAAATGGATAGTAAGTAAAAATAAATAATGATTTTATAACTGGCTAATTAAATCATCTACAGTACAACAGTAAAACTAAATAGTTAATGATACTAATTATAGATCAATCTGCTGATTTCTATGTTGTGAAGTCCAAATAATAAGTTTTCCCCTAGCAAGATTGCAGCCCTAGTTAAAATTTATTTTGAAACCATTTTCCACTAACTTGAAAGAATTGAATTAGTTATGGTACAATGCTAATTCAGTTGACTAAAATCATGAAAGTAGATATAAAGTGAATTCATCTAATACCACAAGGATGAATGGCTTATTTGAAAGAAATAAAATTGAAATAAAACCCCATTTAAAATTAGGTTGAATAGTTTAGGATTAGAGTTGCAAATTTCTTTGTCCATTACAAGTATGTATTGTTTTCAATTAACTTTAATATTCATATGCTTTTAAATTACTGTAGCCTGATGTTTGCTATATGATATCAACTAAATGGAATCAAGAGTTGAACCTACAATGTAAGCCATACCTAGAGAACATTATTATTATATTTGATGTTATTATAATCATAATGCACATCATCATATACTATATATACCAGTGAAACTTAGAAAGGTTTGTAGCTATTTCCAGTACAAATTCAGTCTGGTTTGTTGGCTTACTTTGCTATTGCTAAGTGCCTCTTAGAAACTTCAGAAATGATGAATAACAATGCCAATAACAAGACAAGACAGATAGAGTTCCTATCTGAGCAACTAACTGCATTGTAGTTTGGGTGTGTTATGTACTTTGATCCTCTCCAAGATGTGATGTCTTCTGCTTTGTCAACCTTCTTGCTTATTTTTTGTCTAGGAAAGAACAAGAAGTCGATTCAAAAGATGCCATCATCCTACATCAGTTCTCAAGGCCAAATAATGGCATTCCCAGTTTATCTCCTTTCTGCTTGAAAATGGAGACTTACTTGAGGATGGCTGATTTGCCTTACCAGGTAACCTGATGCTTCTTGACCTTTAGACCACAATTATTGAGCTTCCCTAAATAGATGTAATTTAATGTTCTTTTTGGTTCTAAAGATATAATCAGGAGCAGCAGCATCTGAAGTGCAAGGGTATCAAAACTAGCAAAGATTGAAGATAGAGGATTATGATGTAAGCTCCATCCCCCCTTTTTTAATGTCCATGTGACAGTTACAGAGGGACAAAAAGAGTGGGAATTCCATCCCAACTCTTTGTTTGCTATCTTTGACATCCAACAGCTGCTGCATACGGCAGAAAATTACATTATTTGTATCTTAAAATTATATAAATGAAATAAAATTAAGCATATAATATCATATGGAAGTATCTGCATGTTATGTACACTTTTCAGGGTTCCTGTTTTATTATTGCAGGATCCGATCTGGGTCAGTGACCCGGAACCAGAGGTTTGTCTTCTGAGTTTCAGATTTGTGCTGGAGCCCACCTTCAGGGAACTTCTCTCTATCCCTAATTCTAGAGAGAAGTATATACCTGTGTTTCCCCACAATTAAGACTGGGTCTTATTTATTTATTTATTTTGGGGGTAGGTCTTACCTCACCTCCGGCACTGATAGCCCCACCCAGCCAGTCCACTTCTTCTGGGGCCGAAGTTCTGCAGCTGCATTCGGGCCTGCATTTTGTAGTCAGGCCTTTCCAGAAGGCCTAAGCAGCTGAGTACATAGCTTGCAGAACCGAGCTATGGATTCAATCCATAGCTTGGTTGTTGGCTGCACAGGCCTTCCAGAAAGCCCTGTGACTGAGAAATGCAGGCCTGGCTGCAGAAGAGGCCTCAGAAGAAGAAGTGGGCAGATGAGGAGAGGCCTGGCTGTAAGGTAAGTGGATGCCCAGGTAAGTGCAGCTCTACCCCCCACCCCCACCCTAGCTTGAGTTTTAGGTGTGTGCCTCTCCCCAAAACTAGGGCTTATTTTTGGGATAGGGCTTATATTAGGCCCACTCCAAAAAATCAAACTAGGGCTTATTGTTGGTGTAGGCCTTACTCTTGGGGAAACACGGTATGTATGTACCCTAACTCCAGCGAGAAGTTCCCTGAGGATGGGCTCCAGCACAAGTCCAAAAGCTTGGAAGACAAAGCCTCTGCTCCAGGTGACCGACCCAGATTGGATCCTGCAACATTATCCTGGGACATGTATATTCGCCTTCACTCGTGTATTATTATTACTATTTGTTGTAATGGTGGTAGCAATAGTAATAACAGTGGCAGTGATACAATTTACCAATTCTCTGGCAAGATCTTATTTCTTAAAAAGTCCTTGATGGTGTATTCCTTCTGTCTTCATAGCAACCGCATGAGAAGTATACCGTACTTTCTGGCGTATAAGATGACTTTTGAAAGCGTTGAAATTGGCACCGAAGACGGGGGTCGTCTTATACGCCGAGTCGTCTTATACACTGGAAATTACGGTAGTTTCCGGCTTATAAGATGACTTTCTAGGCATGCGACTCGGTGCCAAAGAAGGGGGTTGTCTTATACGCCGGGTCGCCTTATACGGCAGTATATACGGTATTTATTTAAAATATTTATAGGGACGTTTTCATAGTACAAAACCCCAAATAAGATCACATGTCAGAATTGAAAAAGGTTCTTTGATGAAAAGTGAAAAGTCTTCAAGGAGAAACAAAGTCCAGTTGCCTCTTGAAAAAGCACCTTTGGGATAAGAACACATGGGGTGCTTAAGAATCGCTCGGTGAGGGATGCAATTCCTAAATATGATTGGTAGATAAAGTAATCAATACATAAATATATAAATAAAAAAAGAAATGTCAATACACTGTTAACTAGCACAGGTTTTAAAAGCCTAGGGAATGAAAAGGGATTGTTTGTTTTGTACTTGCATTATAGCATTTTAAAAAGATATTTATCCTGCTGTTCTTTTCATATACAACTCAAGGTGATGAACATAGTACTTTTTCCTTCTCCTATATTTCTCCCAATGCTTAACTTTTTTAATCAAGGATTGTCATCCCATGATGTTAAAGAGAGTGCAGCAGAGCCCAAATACAGTATCTTTCCTTTTGTCTTAAGACTTATTGAACTAATCCTACTTCACAGATGTGATTCGAAATAGATTGCTTTGCTATAAATTGCTTCCCTATATTTTATGATAGAACCTATCTCAATCTTTAAGGGAGTATGGCTGTTATATCTGGGCTATGAAAATCCAGATGACCACTAGATGACACCAACGAATCAGTATTTTCTGTAATTTTTTGGATTTTGTAACTTCAATATCAAAACTCTAGGAGAGAAAGAGATAGAGAGAGAGAGATTTGGAACACTTTGTGTCAGAGAAAACCTGATTTAATAAGCAAACAAGTTTGAGATGCCATTAGGTGATCATGCCAAATTTATGGAGGAGCGAAATTGAATTCATTGCAAGAGCTGAACCTGATTTAGCTTCCATGTGATTGCTTTATTTTTGTTTTGTTGTTTTGCTTCACAGAACTACTTTGATGGAAAGCTTTCTCCCCAAGGGAAAATGCCATGGATCGAATACAATCGCAAAAAGGTATCCGGCACAGAGTTCATTATTGATTTTTTGGAAGAGAAGCTTGGAGTGAATTTAAACAAACACCTTGGCCCACATGAGAGAGCTGTTTCTAGAGCAGTAACAAAAATGGTGGAGGAGCACTTCTACTGGTAAGTTGACATAGGAATAGGAGTGCTCTTGAAAGAATTAAAGGATGTAGCTGCATTTAATGGCCCTATGAAAACATTTACAATGGAGAACATAATTTTTGTAAGGAGCACAGGACTGTATGCAGTGTGTGCAGTGGACCTGCTGCCAGTGTGTTTCTCCTTTTAGCTACCTGTATGGCAAGACCTTAAGGCAGTGGCCCCGACCTTTTGGGTACCAGGGACTGATTCCGCGGAGAGACGTTTTTCTGCAGATCGGAGGGGGTTTGGTTTTGCATCCCACAGATGGGAGAGAGTTTTTTTCTGCAGACCAGAGGGGGTGTGGTTTCGCTTCCCACTGATGGGGCTTCACTTGTTTGCATGGCCCGGTTTCTGGCATGTCATGGGCCAGTGCCGGTCCACGGACCAGGGGTTGGGGACCCCTGCCTTAAGAAAGACTTAGTTCAAAGTAGTTCAATATGCTTAGACTTAATGCACAGTTGGGAGTTCTCTATTGTAAGACTCTCCAACCCCATTGAAAGTTTTACCCACTTTTAGAAGAAGAAGTCATCCATCTTTCCAATTTAACCTTTGTAACTCCGCATGGCGATGCCTGGGCCTACTGGCACAAATTAGCAATCTTTTTGTAGCTGTAAGTGGACAGGGACATAATAAAAAAGGGGCATAAATGAGGAATAAAACCAAAGTGAAGAAATTAAAATAATTGCTCATCCTTATTTTAAAGGAGAAGTGAGTGCAAATGTGCATAAACACACACACTCCTATCACTTTTTAGATTTTGCAGTGACTCTCCAACCATTGTGCCATTTCCTAAGTTTATATCCATTTAGTTTATTTAATGAGCTAGAAAGGGACGCAATAATTAGGATTAGGGGAAAAGATAATAAAAGTGACTGAAAATATATAGCCCCATTTCTTCTCATTAGTTTGCACCCAAATTATTCTTTTTTAAATTAATTCTCATTGAGCCAGCCAAATGTTTTCTTCTTCCTGATGTGGAGGATTGATGATAATGAAATAAGCAAAGCACCATAGAGGAGTTTCATGTTACTAAAAATACCTTGTCTTATGTGGATTTAATTTTCCTTCCCACCAAGGAAGGAAAGGTTTCCCAAAATAAGCTAATGCATCAGTTAATTGATGGGGTAGAAGGAGAAGATGAAAACACAAAACACTCTGCAGAAGGGAGGTTTGCTTCCAGAATATATAATCCAGGGTTTCAGATAGTGGGTGCACATTTGTCTTTAACGAAACTAGCAGATGCATGTTGAAGGACACAATTCAACTTCCACCTTTTGCAATATGTCTGCAGGCAAACCCAGTGGACTGTCTTTCTCTTGGTTTGTTTGAAAGGATGACTTTTTTTTTTTTTGGGCAAAAGCAGTTGGAGCAGTTTTAGAATCATTTTCTAGGATCCTGAGGGCTCTTGTGCCACATGTATATAAAGTGAATAAGGGAAAAGAAAAAAACAACGAGTCAAACACTGTATAGGGAAGAAAACAAGAAGGAATCAAAATACCTGCTTAGAAATGCAATTGGTAAGTTTCTGGTAACTTTAAGGAAAACACATGAGCGCAGGTCAAATGTAAAATACTTTTACATCTTTGGTGCCTTTCTTCAGCCTTGTAGCTCAGCAGTAGAGGCTCAGGACACAGGAGCAAAGGACAAATCACCCTTGTTATCAGCTTTGTACGTGCCTCTATTGATGTATGTTTTTTCTTCCATTTGAATGAGATGCTTCTCCTCATAAATAATTAAGAGGCATAGATCCACAGACTCTGCAGCAAAGCATTCGCTCTTTCTCCTGGTGTTTTTCTCTCTTCCCTCCAAGCTCTCAGCAGCCCTAACTTGTATGGGTCAGTGTGCTCCATCCTCGATGAACCCCCTCTCACCCCTAGGTATTTGCTCATTTTAAAAAAAAAACACCACAACAATAAGGAAATAACTGAACTTGTGTCATTTTGTAGCTATTCCTGAACGATTTCTGCCATCACTAATTCAACTACGGAGCTCTCAATATCAAGCTTTTCAAGAGTTCTCAAAATCACCTGGCGGGCATGCCTGACAGGTGCATTTGGTGTTACACACAGTCCTTGACTCACAGCAGTGTGTTTGGTGACTATTTAAAGTTACAATTGCACTGAAAAAAGGAACTTCAATTGTTTTGCACCCTTACGACTGTGGCACCCTTCCCATGGTCATATGATCAAAATGTGGACGCTTGGCAACTGGTTCATATTTATGAGCGCTGCAGTGTCTTGAGGTCATGTGACCACCTTTTGCGACCTTCTGACCCGCAAAGTCAATGGGGAAGCCAGGTTGACTTAACAACCGTGTTACTAACTTAACACACGCAGTGGGTCACTTAACAGCTATGGCAAGAAAGGTTGTAAAAGGGGAGCAAGACTCACTTAATAAATGTCTTGTTTAGCAACGGAAATGTTGGGCTCAATTGTTGCCATAAGTCGAGGACAATCAGTACTTAGGTTACGTAAAGCATGTATGATGAGAAGCCATAACGGTCACCTGATAGTCTGCATTCCCTTGGACTCACTTTGTAGCCCAGGTTCCCTGATATCATCTGACATGATTTAACTTGATTCAAAAGTTGTGAGCAATGGGAGAGGTAGTAGATAAGCTCTGTCAGGATGTGACCTGACCTGATCCCATTTAGAAAATACTCTGGGCTTGATAAATATTTCATCCTGCATATTGCTGGGAAACGACTGAGCCTGTTTTCTGGGCAATCTCTCCCTCTCCTTTTGAAGCTAGGGTTTATTCTGCTTTCCAAATAGTCCTGTGCCATATTCAGGAGAGGGCTGTGTGGGGATACTGCTGTGAAGGAGAACTAATAATCCCACCAACATAATTTTCGCTCTCAAATATTTGTGCCATCTGTTATTTTTCAATCTACATGACAGTTCCTTTGCTTCACAACTTTTTCCTAGTCATTCATTTGCAGTTTGCTGACATTGGAAGAGCAAAAAGGGATCCACTCACTTTTACAATAGAGGTTGTACTTCCATCAGTTTTCCATAGCTAGACTATTTGTTTTACATCACGCAGCTTCATCCTGTTCTTCCATCAAAAAAAAAAAAAAAAATCACCTAGAAGGCTCACCTACAGTAACAAACACAAGATACTTGATATCTAGAAGCCAGCACTTTAAACAATATGATTTTTCAAAAGGAAAAAAGGGATTGGGAAGAAAGGGGAAAAGGAATACATGAAATGGGAGCATCAATCTTTAAAGTCGAAAGAGCATGTGAGCTGGCAAGTAGCACTAGATCAGGGGTGTCAGACTCGCAATGTCACATGACGTGTCGTGATGTATCGTGACTTTTTTTGCCATTGTTGGTTTCGCTATGATGCATCTGCCCCGCGGGTCGGCAGTTTGACACTCCTGCACTAGATGGCTCCAAAAAGTGACCAAGGACAAACATTGTAATGTGTGCATATCAAATCCTCTCACGAGAATTACAACCATGATTTCTCCAACCTGCTCTCTTCCAGATGTTTTGGACTCCACCTCTATAGATGTTCATCTTTTTGACTGTGGGTTATAGAGAAGTCCAAAGTATCAACAGGACATTAGTTTGGAGGAAGCAACACTAGCCAGTTAAACCATTTCTACTTCAAATAAGAAAATCCTTCTTATTTGAGGTTCAGACAAACTTCAGTTTTTTAAGAAAACATTGCAAATTTTATTAAAGCAAATAATTTAATAAATAACTCAATCACCCAGTTCTTCCTCTCCCTTTTTGAAAGTATATCCAACAGTAAGACGTTGTAGTCCATTCTTTCCTAACCTGATATTCTCCATAAGAGTTTGACTACCTTTCCCATAAAGTTTGTTCCTGGGCACCAAAATAGGTTGGTATTGCCCGATAGCTTCTTCTGTGAAGTACTTTTTTCCATCTAGCACAATAAGGTCAACGGTGGGGAAGCTGCCGCCTTCTCATATTCTATATTTCTTTACTGCAGTTATAGCACTGCTGGAAATCAATATTGTGGTTGTCTTCAATGTTTAGGACCTTAGCCTATTGCCAATGGGTGGACAATCTCCATGAGACCCAGAAGATGCTTTCCCTTGGTGGGCCTTTTAGTGACCTACTGAAGTCGATTCTGTGCCACATCACCAAAGGAATTGTGAAGCGGGAAATGTACGGACATGGCATTGGCCGCTTCTCTGAAGAAGAAATATACAAGCTGATGGAGAAAGATATGCGCTCGTTGGCCAGTCTTCTGGGTAATGAATAGTACATTTCATTACATTCTGTAGGCATCTTTCTTCCTTTGCAATTTCTCGTTTTTGTTTAAACTTCAGTATTACTTTTAGCTAGTCATGTGACTGTCTTGAAGTTTTTGAATTTACATGGGCCTGCATGACTAATGACCCATTCAGTTACACTAGTATGAAGTACAGAGTGTCCTCGACTTACTGCTGCCACAAAAAAGGTTGTAAAATCAAAGAAGAGACTGGACAGCCATTTGTCCGAAATGGTATAGGGTTTCCTGCCTAAGCAGGGGGGTTGGACTAGATGACCTCCAAGGTCCCTTCCAACTTTACTACTACTACTACTACTACTACTACTATTATTATTATTATTATTATTATTATTAAATAGGCCATGTGACCAGTGGTGGGATTCAGCCAGTTCGCACCACTTCGGCAGAACTGGTAGCTAATTTTTTGTTGCCCCGGGCCCAGAATGGGCTTCCAGAAGTGGTATCCACACAGAGAACCAGTTGTTCACGTATCTGAATCCCACCACTGCATGTGACTGACCCATTTTATAACCGTTAAGACATAAGACCATAATGAGCAGGCTCCTTTAGGGCCTTTGTTGAGGACTACCTATACTATAGTACAACTCAGATTTTCCTGTTCCACTGTGAACAGTACTAACTAAAGCTTCTATTAATTCAGTATTTCTGTTATACATGCTTGGTCAAACATTTTGGGGTTAATGGGCCACAAACTGTGCAGGCTAGATTTTACCATGCTATTCTTCAGCTTGGAAATAGACTTCAATAGTAATAATTACTTATGATTTATTTACTAATTAATTCTCCACAAGAAGTAGTTTTACTCACCTACCCAAAGAGTTTGGAACGATTATTCTTTATACACCTCCTTGTAGCTTACAGTACTACAATGCATTGAAATGGAATGAGTTGAAAGGCACAAATTCATTGAAACTTGAAACTTCTAACTTAGAATGAAGAGTTGGCCCAAGAAGCTATCAAATCCCATCCCAGAAACCTCTTAATTTCTTGAAAGGATTTGAAGGCTCCAGGCTTATCAATGATGGCATATGTTCACCAATATTATAATGCACAGTTTGAGCTTAACATATTGGGGTATATTATGAGACATAAGAAGCATTCATTTTATTTAATTGTATAATGTTTGGAAAGATTTGCACGTCATTTGTATTTCTATAACTGTCTGGCTTGGTATAGCAACCAAACAGGACAGGTAAAGACTCCAGTAGATAGTTAGGACTGCAGAAAAACTAATTGCAACAACCCTGCTTTCCATTGAGGATCTGTATATTGCGTGAGTCAGAAGGAGTCCTGAGAACATATCAGCAGACCCTTCACATCCTGGACGTAAACTGTTTCAACTCCTCCCCTCAGAATGTTGCTATAGGGCATTCCATGCTAAAATAAAATACAGGGACAGTTTTTTTCCTCTTGTGCCATCATTTCGCTGAACACCTACTGTAATTCTCACAGTGCTGTCTAATGTTTATGTATATTTACCCATGTAGTGTGACTATTTATTATTCTTATTATCTTTAATACCCCCTCTCATTGGTATATTATTAGTAATATTAATATTGTGATTCTCATTAATCTGTTGCTTTGCATGTACACCAAGCGCTTCTGCACTAGAGACAAATTTCTTGTGTGTCACACTTGGCCAAATAAAGTATTCAGTCCAATCCAATTTGATACAGTGTTGCCTGTTAAATCCGGATCATACCTTTGCAAGGTAACTTTCTGATGAAAGAGATAGCAAATTAGAGGTTACCGGAGACTTGAATCAGAATTCCAGGATTCAGCTTGTTTTCCAGAAAGTTTAATAAGTTATTATAAATCTCCCCTCTCATTAAAAATAAAAGGCCCTTTGAGTCACCTAAATGTTCTGTGCCTATTGAAGCCCTACTGGAGAAGCTTCATGGCTGAATTGAGTCACACGAGGTGCTCCTTGAAGATACATTTCTCCATTTCTATCAGCGAGGTCGCTGAATTCAGTTCCATTCCAACAATGGCCGAGGGTTTGCTATTCCCATTTATGGACCGAGCCTGTTTGGAGTGATATCACCTCCACTGCAAAAACTGCACAAAGGAATTTTGCTGGACAGGAAGTACATAGCGAGGTATTGGATTGCCCAAGCATCTTATACTGCATAAGCTCTTACATATTTGGGACTGTGAGGAACTGGTATGTTCTTGGGATTGGGCATCATCACCTGCATTTTGCCTAATCACCTGGAAAGACTACTGCTTACGGGCTAAATAGAAAATTGTTTGAAAATTATGATTTTGCCATAACTAAGAGTCATCTGCATTTGGGAAACAAATTGTCAAGCAGAGGAAAATCAGGAAGTCGAGGCAGTTTAAAATGAATATAAAGATTTATTGCAAGCTCTTGCTCTGTACAAGAATCTGAACTACTAACTGTCAGAGCAAATTGGCGGTAGATAAGAGTCAAGGAATTCAAGCTGGGCTGGACTTAGATCTCTTACGGGCGTGAAGGGACTCAAGACTGATGATGAGTTTGACCCCTCCCTCAGGCTCAGCCTGGTCATCTTCTACAAAAACCTTATCAAATGCAACAATGCATATACAACAGTGTGTGTATATGTGTGTTTTTATGTATGTACATATACATAAGAGCCAATTAGGCTGTGAAAAAAAATGGTGTCATCACAAATCTATTAAATTCTTCAGAGCAACAGGCTTCAGATATAGCCAAACATATACTGAATGTTCCATACTCTTTTTTTTAAAATGGGTTAATTAATGAAAAATCCATGAAGGAGTAGAGATCACAACAACTAATTCCATTTTACAGAATAATTGTATGTATCAGTATAAACCGTCACGTGTTGAACTGCTTCGTTTACTCTTTTGAAGGAATTAGCAAGCATATATAAGACTGAAAGCTAGGGTATACATTAAGAAAGACAAATGAAATAAAATATCACAACCCGCTTAAATGTTTTTTGACATCTGTTTATTTTCTAGGTGATAAAAAGTATATAATGGGACCCAGGCTTTCCACTTTAGATGCTACGGTGTTTGGTCATCTGGCTCAGGCAATGTGGACGTTGCCAGGAACTAGACCTGAGCGCCTCATTAAAGGTATGAATGCTTTAATCCAGCAGGAACATAACTCCTGTTCTGAGTCAGCTTTAAACCTTGTTCATGCACTAACAAAAAAATGTATGAATAAGGAGATTAGAGTCCATACTCATCCTTCCCGTCCAGCATCTGCTTGTTGAAAAAGGTCCAGAAAGGAGCCCTTTAGATAGGATTTGCCAGCTGATCGGAAGTCCTGGGCAATACACTATCTGGGGGGAGGTGATGCAATTCATATGTTAAATCTTATCATGGAACTGGGCGAAGTAGATCAGATCTGATGAATACTGTGAAGGATGGTGGGACGCCTGGCCCTATTTTTTCAGCATTTGATGTTTTTCATATCTCACTTTATTTGTCATGAGAGAAACAAAGAACCACAGTATGTAGGTGCCACTTCTAAATCTAACAACTTATATCGGTCATTGAAAACTCCGCCAGATCTCTGCCACATGCTTTCAAACATATAATGGGAGCGTAAGAATGTTCTTTTAAAAATGAAAGCTGGGATTTTTAGGGAGTCACAGAGGAACTCTGATACTCTTCAGGAAGAGCTGCCCTAAAATGACATTGGAAAACGTTGACCAAAGTATTGATGAAGGAAAACATGTGTGTGATGTATCAGATATTGGCAGAAGGGAAGAATTTTCTTATTGTTGTTTTTGGAAACATTTCCATTTATTCTGGCAACTGGATGATGAATTCTGATTTTCTGCATCTTATGGCCAGATGTCCTTGATCATTTCAGAACATGTATGTATGTACCGGTATGTATGTATGTATACCCATGCATATATACATATATGCACACAAGTACTTGGCCAGCATAGAAATAAAAGGATATCAAACAGCGGTGTGTCTAAAGCAGGTTGTATATTACAGTTTTTAGTATAGTAAATACTCACCATTTTCTGGTAGTAATTTGGGCTCTCAGAGAAAGCCTAGTTCTTGTTATAAAAGTTAAAATGGAGGGTTTCCTTCTCTGTATTTAGGAATAAAGTGAATAGCTACAAGTAGAATAGTAAGATAATTAAAAGTTTTATTTGCTTTACTAATTTACCTACTAGTTCTTTGACAAAATGCCTTGAGTTTTTATTAGTTTTATTACTGAGCACCAAGCTAGAAACCAGGAGACTGTGAATTCTAGTCCTACCTCCTTAGGCATAAAACACAGTTGGATACCTTTGGGCCAGTCACTCTCTCTCTCAGCTCAACACACCTCACAAAGTTACTGTTGTGTGGAAAAATTGGAGGAGGAAGAGGTATTAGTATGTTTACTGCCTTGAATTATTTATAAAAATAGTAAAGGCAGAATGAAAATATAAAATAAAATGCTATAATTTTCTGTTTTTCTATTGCCTTTCACACTGAGACACCAATCTGCCTATAACTTTCAAAGGGGCAATTTGCATTTTTTCCAAATATTTTGACAATGTCTGTGGAACAGAACCCTATCTTAAGTTTCTAAACTGAGTAGAAGGTCCATTTCTACTAAAATGGAAGTTGCGTTTGCACTGCAGTAACACTGAGATCTGGATTCAGAGTAACTAAAGTTTACCAGCCAAGGATACAAAGGTGTTGTGAGATTAAAAACCAAATTTAGTGGTTTATCTGCTAAAATACAGTGCCTCAGAGAGGCCTAGGAATACATTTAGAAATTAACTTTTTGTTGATAATGCTGTAAGTTAAATTATTGTCAATGATAGCTGATGGCTTCTTCAGAGTTTAAAGCTGCTTCAAGAGGAAGGATGTTTCCACCATAATTTTACCTAGATTATTTTAGATAATCTGATTGTTTTAGCCAGCACAGTGCTTTGTGGTTAAGAAAATATGTATCCAGAATTTCTCAGATGAGAGTAATATCTACTAATACAGTAAAAGAATGTATAGGTTATGAACAGTGGTTATAATGGATGGTATAGTGTTAGTCTGCAAAAAAATTCCATTGGAATTCCCTGCTTTCTACAAGATTTTTGCTATAACAGCCTTCCAGCATGCCGTAGATAATTTAGACCACTTTCTTCAGATTGATGTTAGAATCCGAGTTCCATAAGCCCCAGTTTATCTGATCAATGGAGCTAATGGAGTTTCCTGGGACTTGTAATTCAGCAAACCTAAAGGCAACAGTGTTGTAGAAAGTTAATTTATAAAAACAATGTTAGGGTGATCCTCACAAATAATGTGTGGAAGCCCGTATGACAAGGTTTCTCATTAACCTGTCCCATGGGCCATGAATTCACTGGTTAATGGGCGGGAGCGTTGCACAAGGACAAGTATTTGTTCACGGAAGTGTGACATAATATGGAGAACAAGCATCAGCACTGCTTTTGATATAGTTCTGATGTTGCAGTTCATTTTGTGTCCAATTCATTTATTTATTCTGAAAGCATATACCCCATTTTTTCCTATTAAAAATTGACAGGTGCCTTTGATAATCCTAGCAACAAATGTTTGCAGTAGATCTGAACCAGGCTACACATTAAATGCATGTTATTATTGCTCTAAAGCAGGTGTGTCAAACTGGTGGCCCACAGGCCACGCCCATCCCAGCTTCACAAAAGCAAAAAACATCACAATTACGTCATGATATGTCACATGATGCGATCATTCACCTGTGCTCTAAAGTGAAACTGAGTCATACAGTATGGGCAAACATAACAGCTCTTGAAGAATATGCATCACAAGCATCCACCCTTCACCCTGTTCCCCCAAAAGTTGAATATGTTTGTGATTTTAATGTTCATTTTCTTTTTATATGAGTGCTGGTTATTTTTAGCAACAGGATTTCAACATCACCTTTTTTTCATAAATACCCACAAATCTATTTGAATTGATTTGAATTCAATACTTGAATAATTTGTCATTAAAAAGTCTATGTTCTAGAATAAGAACATGGAAGTCATCAATAACTTGCCCATACTGTGGCAATTACCTGGCATGGCATTAGACCTCCATGAAGGTTTTGGATAAGATCCAGCGGTGGGTTTCAGCCAGTTTGCACCACTTTGGCGGAACCAATAGCTAATTTTTTTGTTGCCCAGGCCCAGAATGACTTAATGACTTCTGGAAGCAACATCCACACAGAGAACCAGTTGTTCACATATTTGAATCCCACCACTGATAAGATGCAGAACTTTTCTGTAAGAGATCTGCTACTGAGGACAGTTGTTTACTTTATCTTGGAAAGAACATTTTATAAAGAATGGAAAAAGAAACCTGATATGGTTAAAGAACTGCAATTATTTATAGTGGTTCCTGTGATCTAGGAGGCTGAGAAACAAGTCTACCAAGATAAATAACTCTGATCTTGGAACATTGATCTATTAGGTCCTCTCTTATTTTTCACTGGCAAATCTGGCATCTGGACATGTTGCAGCTAAAAACTATAATGGTTGAAATCTGAGAAAGCTATCCAGCTCCAAACACAACACACAATACTTGTCTTGGAGTGGATAAAGGAAAACAATAATAATATCTAATACAGGTGTGGCAAATGGTCACTTTATGCCATTGTGAAGAGAAAGAAATATAAAACTGATACATAAATAAAAGCCTTTTTCCAGTCTCTTTCAGCTATTAGCACTTGATATGGCTCATTGCCTATCATTAAGTTTTGTTCTCTTGTAAAAATTAGATGTCTCCACAAAAAGTTGTGTCCTACCTAGGCTGACACTGAAAAGAGTTCCTCAGGCTGAGCTCTAATTGTGGTGACAAAGGAAGAGCGATCCTTTGGCTTTCTCCTGGAATTTCGTCATCACTTCCCAGTGTAGGCTTGATTCTGGAATTTCCTGCTGATCTCCCATTCAAACACTGACCAAAACTTCAAATCATCCAAGGACAGCTAGAGGTAGGAAAAGAGATTAATTTATGAGTTAAACTCACCTTAGCACCAAAGAGGAGGAAAGTCCACGCTCATATTTTGCTGCTATGATCAACTTCACTGTGTAAATGACTCCCATATTTCTATACATGGATGTAGACTTTGTATGACCATGTATAATGGAATATGGAACTCATTTATACAGAACATAGTATGTTAAGAGAAAAGGTAGTCATATCAGAAAGATACATATCCTTGAACAATACTTGCATTAGAGAAGTGTATATAGAATTGCAATTGTTTATTGTTATAATGACATACACTATATAACATACACAACATCTTCATCAACGATTTGGACGGGGGGATAGATGGGGAACTCATCAAATTTGCAGATGACACCAAGCTGGCAGGAATAGCCAACACTCCAGAAGACAGGCTTAGGATACAGGAGGATTTGGACAGATTTGAACACTGGACGCTATCTAACAAAATTAAATTCAATGGTGAAAAAAGTAAGGTTCTACATTTAGGCGAGAAAAACCAAATGTACAGGTATAGTATAGGGGGTACCTTGCTCAATATGATAGGGATCTCGGAGTCCTAGTGGACAATCATTTAAATATGAGCCAGCAGTGTGCTGCAGCTGCCAAAAAAGCCAACACAGTGCTAGGCTGCATTAACAGAGGGATGGAGTCAAGATCACGCAAAGTATTAATACCATTCTACAATGCCTTCGTAAGGCCACACTTGGAATACTGCATCCAGTTTTGGTCACCACGATGTAAAAAAGATGTTGAGACTCTAGAACGAGTACAGAGAAGAGCAACAAAGATGATTAGGGGACTGGAGGCTAAAACATATGAGGAATGGTTGCTGGAATTGGGTATATCTAGTTTAGTGAAGAGAAGGATGAGGGGGGACATGATAGCAGTGTTCCAATATCTCAGAGGCTGCCACAAAGAAGAGGGAATCAAGCTATTCTCCAAAGCGCCTGAAGGCAGGACAAGAAGCAATGGATGGAAACTAATCAAGGAGAGAAGCAACCTAGAACTAAGGAGAAACTTCCTGACAATTAGAACAATTAACCAGTGGAACAACCTGCCTCCAGAAGCGGTGAATGCTCCAACACTGGAAGTTTTTAAGAAGAAACTAAACAGCCATTTGTCCGAAATGGTATAGGGTTACCTGCCTATGGGGGTTGGACTTGATGACCTCTAGGGACCCTTCCAACTTCTTATTACTATTACTACTACTACTACGGGGATTTTTCTTGTATTTTTTTCACTTTTTGTTAGAGCACCTTTTATGTGTTCTTTCCCTCCCACTTCTTTTTAATAATGGATGTATCACTGTCACTATCATTTTTATGTTTTGCTCTTTTGCTTCTTTTTGTTATTAATTAGAAAGCAACAGAAAATGCATAAATAAATAAGTAAACTTCATAGTATCCCTCCTCCCCCTCCAAAGTCCCAATGTACCAGGAGACTAAATCACAAATACTAGAGGATTGTGCAGAATCCTCATATTCCGTTCCCCACCCTCCATTCTTGAAGATGGTCTTTACTATATTGGATTAGCTTGCAGGACTACCATAATCCCTTACTCACCATCCTGCTTTTTGCAACAAGAATAATTACACTAATAGATTTTCTCTACAGGCATTAGAATGCAACTCTGGGCATGTTTAGAAATTCAGAAAAAAAAATCATTGGCTTTTTTTTAAAGGTTCACGCTAAAAAGATGAATTCTTCTGTCTTTGACTCTGCTAGACACATTACTGAGTTATCACAGCAATGCCAAGCCCTGGCTCTCTGACTTGTTTTGCAGGAAGAAGCAATTTCTTCCTACCAGGAAGATTAAAACACTTCTTTAGATCAGCTCTGTGTGAATCATTGCTAGGACTCTTCATTCGGGAGCTAAAAACATTGAAAAGCTTCCAAAATCATCAGAAGATTGATTATATGTTTTCTTTTATATTTCCACAGGCTAGCTCTTTTTAAAAATGAAAAGAGGGACATTTTGGATTTATGGCTTATTAGGAGTGGGAGGAAAGTACACATGGCCCACGGCCCTCCACCATAGATACTCATGCTACATTTCCTCCTCCCTGAAACATTATGCATAAACCTCTAAAGCTGTAATTTTAGGTTCATAGCAATAAGGCAGTTCATACTGTGACAAAGCAATGCATAAAAGATGTTCATATGCAAAGTATCCCGCTGTTCTGAGAGAAATTTCTGTAGTTATTCCTTCTCCTCTATTTCTATGCCCTTCTTTCATGTACTTAGAGATTCTGGAGAAGAATGGACAATGGAGACGCTCTCTCTCTCTCTCTCTCTCTCTCTCTCTCTCTCTCTCTCTCTCTCTCTCTCTCTCTGTGTGTGTGTGTGTGTGTGTGTGTGTGAGAGAGAGAGAGAGAGAGTGATGGAATTTTTAAATAATGCTGCTATCTGGTGGTTCAAACATATTACCAATGTATTCTCTTATACATCTCTACTTTTTTTGAGAATGTAAATACAGGTAGTCCTCAACTTACGACCACAATAGAGCCCAAAATTTATGCTGCTAAGTGAGAAATTTGTTAAATGAGTTTTGCCCCATTTTACGACTTTTTTCACCACATTTGTTAAATGAACCACTACAGCTGTTAACTTAGTAACACAGTTGTTAAGTGAATCTGGCTTCCTCATTGACTTTGCTTGTCAGAAGGGCGCCAAAGGGGGAATCACCTGATCCTGAGACACTGTAATCGTCATAAATGTGAACCGGTTGTCAAGCATCCAAAAGTGAATCACGTGACCATGGGGATGCTGAAACGGTCATAAGTGTGAAAAATGGTCATAAGTCACTTTTTCCAGTGCCTTGGTAACTTCAAACAGTCACTAAAGGAACTGTTGTAAGACGAGGATTACCTGTACAATAGTTTGAAGATTCACACTGTGGTAACCCTATTCTCCTCCCCCTCTTGGTGTTTTTCCAGGAGAATTGATTAACCTCGCTATGTACTGTGAGAGAATAAGGAGGAAATTCTGGCCCGAGTGGCACTACGATGAAGACAACACGTTGTATGAATCGGAAGAAAGCAGCGAAGCGAGTAAAAGTCACCCACTGCAGGACTTCAGTTTTTATTCAAGGACAGAAACATTTGATGATGAAGGACCTGAAAACAGCTTTTCCCAAACACCTGACACCGATTACACAGGGCACTCCCTCTTTGATTCTGACGTGGATATGGATGACAGCACAGATCATGAACCATGCAAGTGATATGTCTGAAACAGACCACTCCATTTTGTGTCAGAAGCATCCATCCGTCTTGGGACTCAGGCCAACTGGCTCAGGTTTCAAAGAGCCCCTTGTCGGTCGGGAAGAGACCATTATGCGTAACGCTATCTTCATATGTCCTTTGGACCCCTTTCACCTTTTTCTCATCTTAGAAAAGAGTTCCAATGGATCCTAGGCCAGCCGGTTTTAATAACTGTCACTATGAAATTGAAAAGATGACAAGGAAGGTAATGGGGGTGGGAAGGAGGATTGGCGTTAAAACATAAGTATGCAGACCTTCCCAGGATGATGTAGAGAAGCCAAGAAGTGAAGAAAATCTCATTTTGGTGTTCTAACCTTCTCCTCGGTGGACTTCCTGTCCTCAGGGCACGATGCAGTGAAATCAGTACAATGAGGAACGGTAACATCTTTCCACTTTGGGTGTGCCAGGTGACCCCTTGCACAGGTGGTAACACAGGTCCCCCAAAGAAGTGGTCTCGAAGAAATGTTCACAAAAGTTTTAAAAATGACCGTTTTGTTTTTGCATTGAAGCCAATCATGTATTGCTCCTCTCTGTTGAATTGTATTTTTATTTAATTTGTTTTGATAGCCTTACATTTTCAAAGGAGAAAATGCATCCTCCTCGGTTTGTTCCTTTGTGTCAATTCTGCTGCCATAATTATTCAGACTAGAATATAATAATTATACCAAAAGATTGCAAGATCAATCATAGCAAGTGATGAGGGTGGAGAATTGGTTGGGCGTATTGAAGCAGACTTGATTCTCGTTGGCCCCCAGAAAGCAGAAGCAGACAGCCTTTACCCAAGAGCAGTTATCAACTTTTACTTTCTCTCATTCAAATTGTATGTATTGCATACATTTATTTCTGCCTTGGATTAATGCCCTGCCTTTCCACTTACACAAGGAGCCTCTTACTTAGTAAAATCTTGCAATAGACTTGAATCTTTCCACTGATAGCATTCCAGTCCATCACGCAACACCTGTTGATTATAATCATAGCAAGATTTTTGATCAGGGCCAATCACCTGGACAATCAGGCTTGGCTAGATGCATATTGTAAACATCTACTATGTATTTTGGGATGTAGTATAACAATTGCATATGTAAAATACAGGTAGTTCTCGACTTACAACAGTTCCTTTCGTGACCCTTCAAAATTACGACGTTGAAAAAAGTGGCTTGTGACCAATTTTTTCACACTTGCGTCTGTTGCAGCATCATGTGATCAAAATTCAGATGTTTGGCACAACTGACTCAAATTTATGACAGTTGCAAGTGTCCCAGGGGTCATGTGTCTATCTTTTGCAACCTTCTAACAAGCAGAGTTAACGGGGAAGCCGGATTCAATTAGCAAGCAGTTGCAATTGATTCACTTAACAAATGTGGCAAGAAAGGTCATAAAACGGGGCGAAATTCACTTAATAAGTAGCTCACTTAGTAAGAGAAATTTTGGGCTCAGTTGTGGTCGTTAAGTTGAGGACTACCTGCATTTTGTTTTTAGTTCTTTGGTCCACTGTGTAAAGACGTTTCTAAAACATTTGCAAAATCCATCAATGTTACTATATAACTGTGCAGGGCTTAATTTGGGGAAGAAGAAATGCTGCAAGGAGCTGTAACTTCTGCTCCTCGGGTCTTTATCTGATAGGTGTGTTTACAGTTATTTAAGGGGAACAGTAGATACTTGTTTAATTGTAGGATTTATTTATTTATTATATCTCTCATTGCAAAGCACGTGGCTTTGTTTTGGAGAGACTGATTTTGGAGTTTATTTGATTATATTGATATTGACATCCACACTCTTATTTTTTTGAACCCAAAACAGTTTTCAAGAGGCTTTGTTATCTGTGAAGCTTTACTGTAAGATTCCCGCCCCACCTCATTTTTCCTAAAACGAGCTACTGCCTTTTCATCAGACATAGATGCTGTCGCTTCCACGTAGTGGATTTTGTTTGTCATGGCCCCTGTGTACCTGTTGCATGCGGTCCTGAGATCAGTGCTTATTTATTTATTTATTTATTATCAACCTGTATAACCCATCCTGATCCCAACAGAGTCGGGATGGGGTGCAACAAAACCAAGAGCAAAAGAGAAATGCAAAAATAAAAGCTCAGTGTAAGCTGTTAAAATAATATCATTAAAAAACCAATAGTAACCATGCCCTTGACTAATCTAATCAATGGGCTGAGTGCATGCTGCAATTAAGCTATTTTAGCCGGTTTACTGAATGCCAGCAGGTTTGAGGCCATCCATTCTTTGGGTGGAAGGAAGCTCCTGGTCTGAGCCCACGTACCTCTTGTGGGGGGGGGGATCTACATCAGACCCACTCCTGATGATTGGACTGCAGAGGCAGGTTCAGTTCTAATAAAGCACGGTCTTCAAAAATCCAGAGTTCAAAAGGGAAAAACTTTTCAGGTAACAGCATTTTGAAGGGAGCTTGAAACCCTTCTAGCAACCTGTGTAGTGACTTCCCATCAGGAGTCCAGCTGCTGCATTTTATACCAGTTGTAACTTCTGGAATGTAGAGAATGTAGAGTGTGTTTCTATGGTTGAAGGACGGTTATAATCCTTCTACCACCGTGTGGTGACCAAGGCATGGGTTACCGTTACCAGGCATGTTCGCCCAAGTAGAGTCACAATAGGTTCTCCAGATGGAGATGAGCAAAGACCACTTTGATCACAGTTTACTATTTGCTGTGTTAGCAGAAGGGAAGAGTCTAGGTCCGGGGTCTTCCAACCTGGCGCTTTTATGACTTGTGGACTTCAACTCCCAGAATTCCTCAGCCAGGCACGTGTGCCTGGCTGAGGAATTCTGGGAGTTGAAGTCCACAAGTCATAAAAGGGCCAAGTTTGAAGACCCCCTGGTCTAGGTGAAACCTCCATTCAAATCCTCACAGTCTTCAGCATCTAGTTCAGGACTTTTAGGACTTGGGCTACGGTGGCAATATATACCGATGACACCTCACCCCTCCCAAATGCTGATTGACCTCATCTTTCATTTCCACCCCATCAGGAGATGTTAAAGAAAATGGGGGAGGACATGGAGTCCTGAAGAATCTTTGTTGGAGTTCCCGAAGCTTGAGGGCAGGTCCTGACTGCTGAAACTGCCCACTGATGTGGGAGCAAAACCACCGTAAAATAGTGACCCCAATTCCTGCAAGTGGTCCAGAAGAATAGTATGGTTGATGGTGGTACTGAACACCACCGAAGAGTCTTAATAGGCACAAGAGGGACACACTTCCCCCTCCCCCATTTAGTTCCAAACGAAAGTCATTGACAAAGCGAGCAACGCCATTTCTGCTTCATTATACTGTCGGTTGATTTTTTTTTAAAGCCCTGAATAATCCATATGTCATTTAAAAGTATAGAATGTGGATAATAGCTGTTCTTAGAGTTCCATAGATATTTTGTTGCTTTTGAAATTTTGAATAATAATAATAACAACAGTTGCCTATCCCATGTCCTTGAGAAGGACCTGATGGGTGGATTAAAATGCCAGATCCAATCTAAACTTCTGGCTGACTGGGTGAGCAACTCTAATAAGATAACAGCATTCTGGAATTTTCAGTGAAATTAACAAAACCTGTTTCTCCCTCACCTTCCTTCCCTCTTGTGTTCTCCTTTTGCTGGTTTCAGATATACCTGAAAGAACGGAAAGGTTGACAGTTGCATTCGATCCCTCGTGCCTTGTCTATGGTCTTATTATTTGGAGATGGCTCCAACTGAAGCCTTAAGCCTTGTGAGGGCAGGAATTTTGTTTCCTTCCTCTGAAATAACTGCTGCATTGCAAACGCCATTGATACACAGAATATCTTTATTTTTACCAATATCCTACTCTTTAAATAAAATGACCCTATTTCCAGTGAGCCTTCCAATTCATACAAATGTAATGTGAATGAATATGCAGATGAATTAATATAATGCATAGCAGCGACCTAATCCAAAGAAAATTTTATACCAAATGAAATCTGAGAGAAAGAAAGTTCCAACTTACTGAAAAGATAGCAGAAATTAAATCATATAACACATTGAGACATAAGGTAATTTGTTTGGTTTTGGCTTAGCACAGTGCATGAATTCAATGGGTTGTAAATCTTGGTATATGGTATAACTTAAATGTGTGATTCTAGGTACTATAACTCTCAGGTTTTAAAAAGCATATAGTCCTCAATGTACTACCACAATTGGGACCAGAACTTATATGGCTAAGTGAAACAGTCATTAAATGAGTCACACTTGATTTTACAATCATTTTTACCCTGGTTGTTAATGGTTAAGTGACTCCGGCTTCGCTTGTTGACTTTGCTCATTGGAAGCTGGCTGGGAAGATCACGAATGGTGCCCACAAGATCCCAGGTTGCTGTCATCATTGTAAATACATGGTGGTTGCCCACATTTTGATCATATGACTATGGGGAGGCTGCAATGAATGTAAGTGCAAAAACTGGTTAGAAGTGACTTTTCAGTGCTGTTGTAACTTTGAATGTTCTTTAAATGAATGGTCATAAGCCAAGGACTACCTGTAATCAAGACAAGACTTAGCACAGTAATGAACCTAAGTTTTTAGTGAACCTGCTCTGGGAATTACTCCACTCTTGTCAGATCAGGCAAAGGGCCTCTGGAGCAGATCTGAATATCTGAGAGAGGTTTAGCTTAGAGATGAAAGAGCTTGAATTAGTCAATTGCTAAGCAATTTATTGCTTTGAGTAGAATAGAATAACAGAGTTGGAAGGGACCTTGGAGATCTTCTAGTCCAACCCCCTGCTCAGGCAGGAAACCCTATACCATTTCAGACTAATGGTTGTCCAGTCTCTTCTTAAAAACTTTCAGTGTTGGAGCATTCACAACTTTTGGAGGCAGGTTGTTCCACTGATCAATTGTTCTAACTGTCAGGAAATTTCTTCTTAGTTCTAGGTTATTTCTCTCCTTGATTAGTTTCCATCCGTTGCTTCTTGTCCTGCCTCCAGGTGCTTTGGAGAATAGCTTGACTCCCTCTTCTTTGTGGCAACCCCTGAGATATTGGAACGCTGCTATCATGTCATCCCTAGTCCTTCTCTTCATTATACCCAGTTCCAGCAACTGTTCTTTATATGGTTTAGCCTCCAGTCCCCTAACCATCTTTGTTTTTCTTCTATGTACTCTTTCTAGAGTCTCAACATCTTTTTTACATTGTGGTGACCAAAACTGGATGCAGTATTCCAAGTGTACCCTTACCAAGGCATTGTAGAATGGTATTAATACTTCACGTGATCTTGATTCTATCCCTCTGTTAATGCAGCCTAGCACTGTGTTGGCTTTTTTGGCAGCTGCAGCACACTGCTGGCTCATATTTAAGTGATTGTGCACTAGAACTCTGAGATCCCTCTCACAGTTACTACTATTGAGCAAGGTACCACCTATACTATACCTATGCATTTGGTTTTTCTTGCAAAAACTTTACTTTTTTGACCGTTAAATTTCATTTTGTTAGATAGCACCCAATGTTCAAGTCTGTCAAGATCCTTCTGTATCTTAAGCCTATCTTCTGGAGTGTTGGCTATTCCTGCCAGCTTGGTATCGTCTGCAAATTTGATGAGTTCCCCATCTATCCCCTCTTTCAAATCATTCATGAAGATGTTGAAGAGCACTGGGCCCAGAACAGAGCCCTGGGGCACCCCACTACACACTTCCCTCCATGTTGATGCAGTTCCATTGAAGACCACACGCTGAGTATGGCTGGTCAGCCAGCTATGAAGCCATCTGGTGGTGATGCTGTCTAACCCACATTTTTCTATCTTATCATGTAGTAGGTTGTGGTCTACTTTATCAAATGCCTTACTGAAGTCCAAATAAATTATATCCACAGCATTCTTCTGGTCCACTAATTTTGTGACCTGGTCAAAGAATGCAATGAGATTTGTCTGGCATGATCTGTTTTTGACAAACCCACGTTGGCTTTTGGTTATGATTTTATTTGCCTCTAGGTGTTCGCTGATTTGTTGCTTGATTATCTTTTCCAGAATCTTTGTATAAGATTGTCAGCACTTGGAATTGTGTCCGGTTATAGACCAGGATCTGATGTAGCTATTTCAAATCTGATCTCCTTTGCTTGTCAGCCATGAATCAACCTGATCATCTGTTTGATCACAGAACAGAATACTATCTTCTGTCCCACTGGTCAATTTGTTGCTTTGTTTTACTGTCTTGCAAAAGGTGGAGCTCAGGATTTTTGAAAGCAAGCATAAGCAATCCTTTCCTCTACCTTCTTGCCATCCTGCTGTGGTAAATTTGCTGTTATGCATTAGTTTAGCACACTGGGTTCCTTCATTTAGACAATTGGCATCTATTGGAATTTCTTATTGCAATGTGCCCTATAGAATAAAGTTCCCCCAAGATCTGAGTAACTCCCACCCTGCTTTGGAAGGTCTTAAAAGACTTGAGTGCTTTTTCAGGCTGAATGTAGTTGAAGTCTCTTTTGAATGACTGGGCATATCTCTTGTTGTTATCTGGTTTGCTACTTTTTTGTTCCTTTTGTCTTTATTGTTGTATTTGTTATTTTTCAATGTTTTTATCTGGTAAACTGCCCAGAGTCACTGGGAGTTAGGCAATGAATACATCAAATTAAGAGTCACTGGGAGTTAGGCAATGAATACATCAAATTAACAGCAACCAAGTGAAAATTAGAGAACTAGAAAAGGCATTTGGGCCTAGAAAATCCTAATCTACCAGCACCCCTGGTCTATCTTTAGGGGAAAGGATCTAGAAGAAGCTGAATACCATATCTCAGAACAGGACAATTAAAAATCTGGTGAAAGAGATGCCCTTTTCACATTTTCTCAGTGCTGAAAGAATGAGACACAACATAGCAGAGCAGAAGCAAACTTTCTTGTACATGCCAGAAACACAGACTTCTGACAGTGGGGTGTATCTTTAAAATATGGGTGACTATTGGGTGGGGTAGTTGAAATGTGATGTGGTACTGTACAATCTTTCCCTTTTCTTTTGCATGGTGATGTTATGCACAAGTAGGCATGGAGGAAGAGTTTTTGCTGTTTTGATGAAACTTCATTTGCTGTAGATGTCTGTGTTCTGGAAGGGCCTCTCCTCCTGATCTTAACACTCAGAAGATTTACAAGGGGAGATGGGGTTGCTTATAATCAGACCCTAAGTTACTTAGGACTTTAAAGGTTATTTCCAACCTTTAAAGTTGTGCCTTGTAAGCAGTTGGCGACCACTTCAATTCTTTCAGTACAGGACCACTCATTCATTTTCATATTTCATTTTTGTAGATGCCAGCTCACCCTTTCACCCTACGGCCCACAGATGTTGGGCAGCAATCTGTCATATGGTCCCTGTATCGTATATCAACTAGCTGCATCTTTCAGATGCTTATCATGAGTAGCCTCATATAGAGGATATTGCGACAGTCAAAAGGGATATACTGTATAGCTAAGACATGGTGGAGAACCATTACGGAATCTCACCAGCTCAGGAAAGGAAATAGCTGATATAGTAGACAACATTTTGCAAAAGTGCTCCTTGTCACAGCAGTCCTACTTGCAAGTCTCGCCAGAGCTGAGGATCAAGGAGCACTCCCTTAAGCAAATGTCTTTCAAGAAAGCTTCAAATGCATTCCAAACAGACAGAAATGCGGAGAATCTTAGAATTTCTAAGGTAATTTGCTCACTGATTCCCATTTACATAATTGTGTAGACCATTAGTTAGGCTAATGCTCTTTAGATTTTATGTGGGCTAAGT